CAGGACATTTCATGTGTCAGACTAATAATATCTGTCATTTGTTGCGGTTCGGACCGGAATATCCGTCCCGAGGGGACCCGCCCATAGGGCGGTAACGAGGCTTGCCGAGTTACCGCCCATGGGCGGGTTCCCGAGGGACGGATATTCCGATCCGAACCGCAAACATATGAAAGATATTTTTTCTTGCATATTCTGCCATATATTATTTCATATTTAAAATGGTTTAGGTCAATATGATATATGTTCATGGAAATTAAAGTCATTTCATCCATAACTATTTTCTTACATTAGCGTATGTACTTACAACTTAAATAACAACGGCGAAATGACGTCATCCTAAGACATATTTTCCTTCTAAAACGACGTCATTTTAACGCGGTTCATTCATAAATGGCGCTAAAATGACGTTGTTGTTTGGCACGCGACTCATCTGGCACTCCCCATGCCAGATGAAATTTCCGGCATGGGTAAAACTCACGGAAACGCCAGTCTGCTATGCAAGAATTTTCATTCTACTAGAAAAATCACCTATTGAGCATGAAAACTCAATTTTAAGGTAGAATTTGGGACTATTTTTTATTATGTAAGTCTATGGGAATATCAATGTGAGTGTCTGACCAAGTCAAATCGTGTGCTTTAAATGACGTCATTCCAGCGCGCTTTTTATAAATGAATTGTGTTCTTAGAATAACGTTATTTTGCCGTTATGAATGACTTTGTAAATTCATATGCTACTATAAGAATATACGTATTCTTATTTTTTTCCAAAATATGATTAAGATGTAAGAAAATGAATCAAACATCAGCTGTTAAAAAAGACGGAAATATCTAGCTCGAGAGTAACTGTTTAAGGCGGTAACGAGGATCTCCTTTATTGTTTTGATATTCTTTGTACCTTAGATCATTTGCCAAACTACAAGTGTCATAAAGTAGTAAACAGATGCGGATAAGATACTATTTCGATATCTTATATAAGGTAATAAGCGTTGCACAAAATCGGCGTTAACTCATAAAAATGGTCTAATTAAGTCATATTTTATCTTCAGTATAATTTGACATGAGCAGTTCGGCAATTGCCTCAGGTATACCGAATATCAAAACATTAAAAAACAATATAGGGTTTTTGAATAACCAAGGTCAGACTGTATTCATTATCCAATCGTGGTGCTGCTTATGGACAAAGAATTGCACAATTCTGCGTAACTTTTGCACTATTTCTGCGTTATTTGCTCATTCCTGTGATGCTGGATATACACCATGAAATACAAATATAAGTTTCTATGTAATAGCTATCTTAGTTTTGATTTTTTTGTGCTTGGAAGAAACTTAATCAATAAGGTTCACCGACGCAAATACCATCGCCACTGATTAGGTCATGACAATACTATAGCTACGATTTTCCTTCAAAAAGTGGATCTTATAATCATATTAATTGATTTGATTTGTAATTATCACACTAATAAGATAAAAACTTTCTACGTCTCCGACAAAAACAATACTTCTATCGAGAAAGCTCTTGAAAAATTAGAATACATGTAAATCTTTTAATTGTAATTATTCAGTCTAAACTTCTTTTTCCAAATCTTATTGATTTTGTTTAATAATATAACAAATTTTAAATGCAGTAAAGTTTTGTTATCATCTGCACAAATGTAGTTGACAATTTAGCTATATATCACCTTCACTTATAAGAGATCAAGTTAAAATTCCATTGAAATCTTAAAATAGGTCTCCTAATGATTGCAGCTTACAATATAATTAGGCAATATTAAACGTCGTGTATTATACTTAACAATACATAATAAATATTAATTAGCTATGATGGTTTCTGATAAAATGTGATAAAAACCTTAAACATGTTAATCAGGGCAAAAACTTGAAAATGGGGCAGAACTTTGCAACATTTTAAGTGTATCCGCCCTATTGAAATAAACATGTAAAGATACGTATCGTTTGGACAGAAAAGTTTCTACAGTCTTTTAGTAATGGGCCTTTACGAAAATGCCCGAATATATAAAATTTCAGCAGATTACCTTTATTGATATGTACTTATGAAATAGGAAGCTTGAATGAAAGAGTGACAGCTCACTTTGTTTCCTTGTGTGATATTCATGCCTTTAGATAACTTGTTAACTACTTTTGAAATAATACTTCGCATTAACGGATAAGTAGCATGCATAAACGGATGAATTCACATACCGTTTTTAAAGATAAAAATACGCGACACTCAAAGTGACACGTAAAATTGACATTTACTTATAAAAACATGTCTGTCAAATAACATCGCATAAGCGCACAGAAAGCATATAATAGTGATTTCTTAATACGAACATCAAAACTAAACGCGGAATTTCCGAATTATATTAGATTCCATCTTCCTTCTTAAATATAAGGCACTGTACTGTTTTTAAAGTAAGGTTTTGTAGATCTGGAGCCAGGGGATGACTGGTCAAGTCTGTAGCAAGATATATTTCTTTATTATAGGATATTACTTATTAGGAAATATAGGTAATTTGGTACACCTGTAACATGAGCACATCATAAGAACTGGTCGTTTAGTTACTACTAGTCAGTTTGTCGAAAAAAAGCACGTGAATATCGGCAGCCTGAAACCAAGGCTAAACGAAACTGGATTTTCTCACAAACACAAGTCTGATAAAAAAAACCTGCATGCTGGCTTGTTCTTTAAATTCGTCCTCGAGTGTCTGCAGACGCTAAAGTCGAAAACAGATGCATTTAAGAAGCGTCTTACTTGAATAAATTAAGAACATGATTAACAAGTACTACTGCAACAAATAACTAAGTTTTCAACAATTCTTTTTACATCATATATACATAATTGTTCACTTATTTGCTCATTGAATTATTTGCTTATTGAAAAACAATAGATGTTCAAAACATAATGTGTTTGTGTATGATAGTCTGTGTTATTAAGGAGAAGAAAATGAAATATGAAGCAACTTGGTTGATTTGCAGTCTTCAATTATGAAAACAATGTCTAATTAAAAGTTGATAAGGAACGCTACTTACGGAGTGCGACTTATTTAGCACCATTGTGTTTCTATATATTCTATATCTACACTACTATGTTTGTTGTTAATTTATCTTTTGCTCTTCCATGGAAATAAAACTTTGATAAAAAAACTGATTAAAGTAGCGGCTTGAAGCAATTTTTGATCAGGGCTTTTCGTATCGCAAACTCTTTCAAACTATGTCAAACATGCCAAAAACGAATGAGAATATACGGTATTGTTGCATGTTAGTGTCAACCAAAATCCTCTGTTAAAAATATTAAATAGGAATCTATTGTTTTAAAGGTAAATATAATTACTTTAAGATGCCTTTACTGATACAAAACAAAAATAACACAGTCTATCTCTAAAACATAAAAGCAGTTTTCATGCTGAGAAGACATTGTGATCGAGTACTGACACTTTAGGATAAGTTATCAAATACATCTTGGCTAAAATAGCATGTTTATTGCCATCGTTATACTGTGGTATTTTTCACAATCATAGTTACCAGCTGAAACAAAAGAACACAACATACTGTGATAACAAATCTACTTAAAAACAGATGGTTAAATCGATTGCGTAAATTCATAGCGTGATGTTTATTGTAAATAACAAAACATCACGTTTACTGAACTAGTAAAAGGGCAATAAAAATAATTTGTTTTCATTGGTGATAAATTAATAAATCAGTACCTTAATATCTTTTCATCCATACAAAATATTACCGGTATTTAGAGCATCAATATGTAAAATATGTATTTGTATTAAATTTGATTATGGGCAGAACATGCAACCTTACTAAATAGTATTTCTATAGACATATTCAAGGGCGTTGTACAAAAGTATAATAAGATTATATTCATATAGATAAAAAATCACATATGCATGACAAATGAACTACCAAAAAAAAGTGAAAGAAATTAGCCCTGTAAAATATAAAGTATTAATAAAAACTTAAAAAAATAATAGTTATAAAAAATAATTTAAAAGAAAATACAGTTTACATGAGAGATTGTATATAAGTAGAAAAATCTTACAAAATGAACAGCATTGTTCAAGGTTATAGTGACAATTTGGTTCTGAAGGTGTAATCCCGACACGTAATTAGACCCGGTCATGTTATTAACAGTGTATATATTGCATCTGCTGTGGTTTAGGGTGATTTCTGATCATTTTTAATGTTGTGTGTATTCTTCGAAATCTCTTCTTTGAGCTTATGGACAACTTGTCAGGAAAAAAAAACTTTTTAAATGTTGGTAATTTCAACGGTGACACAACTTTCAAGATTCTGAAAAATAACATACCTAATGTATAATAGTTCGGACCTGATTTGACATGAGTAGTGTTGATGTAAAAGTTGAAGACAATATATTTCTAAACAGGATCCAAGGAATCTAGAATTTAGCTACAAATACGACATGGCTTAATTAGACCGAGTAAGACACTACAATCATAATTGCACAACAAATTGGCGGAATATTTTGATTAAATTTAATCAAATGGCAATATGCATTATTTTCCGATAAAAAAAGTAGATCGACTTGCACATTGCTTGCTTTTCATTAAGTACATACTTATTAACATCAATTTGGTATTAGCTACTAAAATATATCAAGAAATACATTTCAATTAAAAAAGTTTCTTTTTATTTACAAGTTTTTTTAATTTAAAAAAAACATGAGCATGAGCATATCATATGTGCAAACATATGAAAGAAAAGGTCATTGTGATGCATATTGGTATTGACATAAAACACAAAACAACAACAACAACAATAATGATAATGTACCAAAGAAGACAACAATAAATTTATGTTTGTAAGCTGATATGCCATTTAGGATATATCAGATTTATTGTTCCAGCTTTTAAGTTTTTTTGTGAACAACTATATATTATCGTTTGATTGAAAAAGTAATTTAGTAATAGTTATCACAATGTTTCAACACAAAAATCTTTTGGCCTAATATGTTTGACAGTGAGCTTTATATTTGGAACATCTACCTAAGATTGCTAAGTTTCCTTTGACTTGTGATTAGAAAAAGAAATGTAAGTACATTTTTAAAGATATTTTTTTACAATGAAATTTATTTGATTTTATAATTTTTATAGATGATGTGGCTAACATTCTATTGACTTGAAAATTGTGTTACTGTTCTAGTGAATACTTATTTATTCATACTAGATATTTAACATATTTTTAATTATCTTATTTCAGAGGGTCATCCTCTCGCAATCAGTAAAATTATGTTTTTTCGTAAGTACACGCTTGTTGTTAGTATCGCCTGTAATAAATACCAGTATGAATTTAAATGAAGTTGTGTTTATCATTAACTAATTGAATGAGTCGTTTTGAGTCGTAATGAAAACAATTTATGATTTTTTTTATTTATGCATAAACCATTCATAATACTTGGAGTACTATCTTCAAGACAAAAATACTAATTTGTACGTTCAATTTGATATTCTTCATGACAAAAATACAAACATTCCGGAAGTACAATTTGTTATTCACCATTTAAAGGGACCGATTTTGATTACAGTAAATTTACGACTTTATATTATATTGTAGACTTGACACTGTTTATTTTGGCTTTCTTGGCTACAGAAACAGGTCAGTACTTTGTTTTACATATTATTTATTATTCAATTAATTTCGTTTTCATCTGTTGTTGTTTAACATTTAAAATTGTTTTTGTATATACTATAAATATATATATATATATAAACAATGATTAAATATTAATAACCATTTATAATATACATTCTATATGAGAACATTCAGTCAAAAGATGCACTGACGTAAGCTTTCTTATTGGTGCTCGCAATGATATACGTATACTTGTTGTTTTTCTGATTACAACTCATGCTCGCAAATATTTCCATTCTAGTTCACATATGTATAATGGTCTCCTTGTTATGTTAAATGTACCATATTTTTCAGAAACAGCTTCTCACGAATGTTACACATGTAAAAATATTGACGATCCTGATGATTGTCATAACATTACAGAAAGCGGTAACCAACAGGTAAAATGTTTGCCTAAAGAAGCATCAGGTTAATCAAATATGACATTATCACATATTTTGCTATTGCTTTGAGAACATGTCTTTTTTTCCGTTTTAAATTATGATATTATGATACTGCATTTTAGGATTTTTCTTTATTGTTCTTTTATCATAATTGTTTCAGTCCTGCTTTGCTAAAGTGGACATCAAGGGGCGATCTAGGTCGTTTACATTAGGAATCACAGATGATGAGGTAATGTAACTTTTCACATATTAGAACTATATCGATGTAGTGCCATGAATGACATTGGCAATTCTATTTTTGAAATACTAATATATATTTCAGTAATTTTCAATTATAGCTACTAAAATATTCATTTCAATAAGGACTTACTGTTTCCAATTTAGTAACATATGAAAATAATGAACTCTTACTTTAGAATTGTGGTACGATTCCAATTTACAATGTAACAAAAATGAAAAGAGATGTGGAGGAGCAATGTTTCGAGTGTTGTAGTAGAGACAAATGTAACAATCAGTTATGTCAGCACCGAAAGCGTAAGTAAAAGCAATAAGGTCATTGAAGTGAATGTTTCAAATTAACATCTTTCATAAGATATATTGACTGTTAAATAGGTGTACAACTGTTTTTGAGAAAGCTAATTAAAGTGTCCTTAATTGTTGTTAGCAGAGATAAAATGAGGATAAACACAATCTTTTATTACGAACAATGAAATTATTAATGGAAATATTGATGTGTACAATCTTTATCTACTGCAACTAATCTGTAAACTTCATTTACTGTTTGAAATTATATTATGTCCAATAGAATAGCAGTATTTCAAATTATTTGTTTAAAAACCAATGCTCTACAGGGAAATTCTCCAGATAGAGCCGGGTTGCCAAAAACACATTTTGTAGGACTGACTTATTCTTCAGGTAGATCAGGGTTGCCAAAAATACATTTTGTAGGACTGACTAATTCTCCGCCAAAAACACATTTTGTAGGACTGACTAATTTTCCAGGTAGATCCGGGTTGCCAAAAACACATTTTGTAGGACTGACTAATTATCCAGGTAGATCCGGGTTGCCAAAAACACAATTGTAGGACTGACTAATTCTCCAGGTAGATCCGGGTTACCGAAAACACATTTTGTAGGACTGACTAATTCTCCAGGTAGAGCCGGATTGCCAAAAACACATTTTTAAGGACTGACTATGTGACATTTTAGTATGAATATAAATATGGTATTAACGTTTTTTAGTGTCCAACTTTATTTGTCATCCAATGAAAACGCTGTATTTCTTAAAAATTCTGTGCGTTTATTTTCATAGAAGTACAAATGTCGATACTATATCGAATTCCGTCCATAGTCGACTTCTATTTTTCATAGTACTTCATAAAACCGCATAGTGACGTAATAAAGTGAATGATAATGAGGCCAAATAAAGTTTGACACTAAATATGTTAGTATTCATCCGTGCTGTTCTACAGAAATTAGAAACTTCGACGGGAGCGATGATGAACACTAACATAGTAGTAGACTCCGCCATATTTATCGGTTGCTGGCGTAAATTGCATCGGACGTGGAACAATTAAAAAAATCAAAAACCAGTATTTACAGCTGCGGCGCTCTTGGCCATATAAATTTTGTAGATTCTAAAGGTTTGCTTATGAACACTAATCTATACTTAATACTTAAATTATGTCTTTAAGTTGAATCAGAATTTCTATAGCTCTACATAGAGGATAGTACACATAGTCTTTTACACAGTAACTTTTATATTTTAGCCTCAAAATGTATCGACGACGTCAAAATTGACTGTGCACATGTGAATGCGATGTTTAACATTTGCGGAAAAGTGCACCAGGCGAAGACTATGTGTCCTAGGTTTTGTCGTCTGTGCTCATTAGGTAAACAATATGTTTTCATTTAAATGGAAATTGATAACTGTATGACATTGTTTCTTACAATATAAGAAATATAGTTATAGCTATCTGTATACTAATATATGACGTTTGTAAAATTTTAAAACAAGACTTTAAAAAATCAATAGTATTGATCATACATAATGACTTTTTCAAAACAAAAAAAAGTTGACGGAAACTGGGCAGATTGGACTGAATGGTCTGCGTGTGACGTCACATGTGACGTTGGCATACACATCAGAAAGCGCACGTGCACTAACCCTGCTCCCGCGTATCAAGGTCTGGTGTGTGTAGGAAATGACACTGAAACAAAACGCTGCAATAATATGTTGTGTCCAGGTACGTATTTTCGTCATGAATATTGTTCAGGTGATATTGTAATGTTTGGTATATCGTTGATATTTTTTCTATAAATGTTAACAGCTTTGGATTGTTTTGCGTTTAATAAGAATAAAACTTGAATGTATAACCCTGTAAAAATATCACTACTGTATATAAAAACAAAGATGAAGAAGAAAAATAGTAGGATGGTAAAAACTATTTGACTTTTAAGATTATTTGGTTCATGTAAGAATTATTTTAGTTCGATTGTGTAGGAAGCTATAAGCTTAAAGAGTCTTTTTTAAATTCTTTCCACATTGAGTGCAAAGATTCTTGCTAAAAACAACTTGCCCCTGATAAGATTTGAACCTATACGACTCATGCGGCTAGCGACCATTAGATTTCTAGTCCAACGCATTAACCACTCGGCAGTGAGGTCGCTTAATAGATTAATGTATAATTTAAAGACTGTGTAAAAGTAAGAATATATCAGAAATGAATACTGAATTATTGTCAACTGTTTAAAAGATAGTTATTTTAACCAAAGTAAATGGTGGTTGGTCTGACTGGTCGGATTGGGGAGAATGTTCTGTGACATGTGACACCGGTCTGAAGAAGAGAAACCGTTCATGTTCCAATCCGTATCCGAAGAGAACCGGCGTTCATTGCTTTGGCGAATCATTAGATGTTGAAATATGTAAACAAAAAGCTTGCAGTGGTAAGTCTTTAATTGTTAACATTATTTATTACCCCTCACTTTATTCGTAATGATTATTTCCCATACGCCTCTGGGAGTTATTCTTACTGCTAATGCAAGTGTACCACATGACTAGGAATTTTGTACTGTTACATAGGTAACAGTATTTTTAACAGTATATAAATAACACATGGGTTTGTGGGTAACAGTAAAAAATCATCCCGAGTAAAATACTGTTACCCGAGTAAAATACTGTTACCCATGTGCTATTTATTTCATTACCCCGAACAAATACACTGATGATCTGAATTTGTAAACTAAAACAAACTGTAACAAAAATAAACCAAGAGTAACAATAACTAAACTTTCCTAACCTTGCAAGTTTTCAGTGTACTGTAGGCCTACTTGAGAAGCTGTTTTTCTTTTATTCTTTAAGACATACAATAAGCTGTGTTTTATTTACAAAACAAAACACTTACTCATCTATATGTTTTTGTTTGTTGAAAAAATAAACTTTGAGTTACAATGTAAAGATACTTTTAATATTTAAAATTATGCAAAATAACATGTTGAAATTTTAACTGAGACATGAAAACTGAAATAAAACACCATTACCGCGATTTAAATGATGACATACTGTTTTCAAAGTGGCCGACATATGGTCTACGTCTGGCTCATTAGAACTGATTTTGACTAAATATAATGTTGTTTCCATGTGTCATACAGCAGAAAATACCTATATGTTACAGCTTATGACAATTTTGTACCATAAGTTTCATATGCTGTTTTCTTTCTTGCTTTAAAGCGTTAAGTACCGTGAACTAAGAGGAGCACAGTATAGATTTAGTATACAAATTCAGTTAATCATAGTATTTGTTCGGGGTAATAAAATAAATAACACATGGGTTTGTTTGTAACAGTAGAAATATCATACCTCGTTAAAATACTGTGAACCTCGGCTATGCCTCGGGTAACAGTATTTTCCTCGGGATGATAATTTTACTGTTGCCAACAAACCCATGTGTTAATTATATACTGTTACTGTTGTATCTATTGATAGCGCAGATTTACCTATAAAATTTTCATACTTCTATGTTAACCTTTTTATTTCTAAATTCGATATTCTGTTATCATACTTAGTAATAAAATAAAAATGATTCTTTTATCAGAGTAGAAATTTAAAAGTTATCAATTTAGGCTCTTATTTCAAACAAATCCTGAAAAAGTACGTAGTTTATAGTTTGATTAAAAGGACTGCACGACAAGATTTTTGTACCATTTAATATACGTCTGGACTATAACTTCTGTGCAAATGTTCCGGTCATTTCCTTGCCACGTTTTCCCAGACTGATCATTATCATGGTGCAAAAATACCCAACGTTACGTTGCAAGGTTTTTCACTCATATTGGACTAAGAATCTCACATAAAAATTGATATTCAATTTAATTCTGAGTATATTTCTTCATTATCCTATGCATATTTCTTACCATATTATATTTTTTTTACTTGAGCTATTCTAGAACTAAAAATTTTATGCTTTTAGGATTTTTTACCTTTATAGAGCTAAATGGGACAAGCATGTACAAGGATAAAATCGAGCTTCTCAAAGGAATTTTTATAAAATTAGCAATTTTTAGACTATTGACCATAATTTTGCCTTTATAATTAGATGTCAAACATTTATACATGAGATATGATCAAGATTGTATGTGTATATTATTAATAGAAATTTACTCTTTGATTTCAGATTTATCCACTATGGTCGCTTTCAGGTCAGATACAGTGACTGACTTGTCTTTAACGGACAACAAAATAATTGTATTCTCACATAACACACTCAACATTGGTGGCGCATATAACAACAAGACTGGTATCTTTAAGGCATCTGTACCAGGACTCTACCAGTTTGCAGCTCAGATATGTTTGCCTCCAGGTTCTCAAACGTATTTTGGTATCGTGAATGAGATCATTCTCACGAAGGTTTTAATCGGGGACCCTTCTTGGACCAAATGTTACACGTTTGATGCTCTGACATTTGTAGATCTGGCAAATCAAGTATCCGTCAAATGCATAGGGTCGTGCAGCGGTGATAAATTAAGCAAGAATCATCTCATGCAAAGCAGTTTTTCGGGGTTTCTTGTCAAAGCAAATATGCAATAATATCTCAATTACTCTTTCATTGCTCAAACGATTTTAACAAGTCAAGACTGCAGAGACAAAATCAATAATATTACAAAAACCACTTCGTTGATGACATTTTTATAACTATACAGATATCATTAAAATGAAGATATCCACAGAACGTTTTGGCAATAAAACATTTTGGAGTATTTATGATTAAAGTGATATATAGATATGGGTGGCATAAGGAAAAAATGCACCACTTCAATTATTTTTAACATCATTATTATTAATCCAAAACCGACAGTTGTCAAGCTTAAGTGTATTAAAATGTTTTTAAGTGTTTATTCTTATATATATGTATGTCATTTAATGATTATAATTCACATAAACTTAACTATACAACACTCCTCGCACCACGGGTTTCTGGATTGCCGGTCCAGTATGTTTAACACTACACCACAGTGGCCGAGTCATGCGCTTTAAAATGATGTCATTTCGACGCCTTTGATAAATAAGTCGTGTGCTTGGATGACGTCATATCACAGGTAATGGTGCACGAATCTTATATAAAATTATGATGAGTCAAAACCACGGCTGACATAACCCCAATAAATCATGCTTAAACAAAACATTTACATTTTCTATAATTTTATTTTATGTTTACCGTATATCTTTTATGCATAATGCGTTTTACAAATGTATTTACTAAACTACATGTCTTTTTTAAAGGGATAAGCATCTTCTGCTTTATATTCATTGATCACTTTAATCTTTTCAAATACGTAGTATGAGAATAATTAATGTATGATGTAACATTAAACTGTTGTAAGCGAATTTAGTTTTTCTTGCAAAAAGATTGATGAAGAAATATCAGTTGTGTTTATTTATCTATTTATTTATCTGTCTATCTATTTATTTACTTAATTTAACCACATTACACATGTATCATTTTTGTTGCCTCACTTTGTTTTGTAATAAAAAGTAATAGAGCAGTACGTGGTTTAGTTGTTTATGTGATTATTATTAATTAAGGGATTGTGAGTTCGAGCCGTTCAAGGATTACGACTAAATGTCCTTGTATCACATAAGCACTGTTCCAGGAAGTTGACACGTGAGTCTAATAAGCTTAAAACTTCCGAGCTCATATCGATAAGCTGAAACTTAAATAGGTTAAGTTTACTGTCGTGGTCAATTCATATATATGTAAATCAGACGCTTTAAAGCAGCACGCCTTCAGATTCATGCTACATGTCATGCTTATCTTTTAGAAGTATTTAAAAGTAAAAAAACTATGAACAAAGTATTATTTACACATTGCAAACGGCTGTATCAATCTCCGAAAATTGCCCCAAAAAAGGGTCAGAATAAGCAAAAATAGCCCCTATTGCGGTTATCACGCCGTAGGAATATGGAGATAAATACTGCAAAATCAGTTCTTAATCGCACATAATATAATTATAATAAGAATTATTACATGATTTTAAATATGTGATCTTTTATAAAAAATATATGTGAAGGAATATTAAATGAATATGAATGTAAAATAGCTTTATCAGAAATGAAAAACAACAAAAGTCCAGGATCTGATGGTTTAACCGTCAAGTTTGGAAAAGCATCAAAACTATTTTCTTGATTCGATTAATTACTCTTTTCAAATATCAAAACTAACAACTCTTCAAAGACAAGGAATTATATCTCTCATACCAAAGTCAGAAAAAGATCTTACAAACACATCAAACTGGAGACCAATAAGTTTGCTTAACGTGGATTATAAATTAGCAACAAAAACTATTTCTAATCGCATAAAAAAGTTTTGCCAACTATAATTAGTTGCAATAAAACATGTTCATGAAAATTCGTGACATTGGTGAAATCGTAACTTAAAGGATGATTTTTGAAATAATTGAATATCTTCAAAAAGAAAACAAACCAGGTTTATTATTCTTTGCCGATTATGAAAAAGCATTTGATAGTTTAAATCATCAGTTTATCTTTAATACTCTTCAAAAGTTCAATTTTGGTAAAGATTTTATACAATGGGTCAAACTTTTTTACACTGATATTTCAAGTATTATTGTAAATAATGGTCATTTCTCAGAACCTTTTACCATAGAAAGGGGTGTTCGACAAGGATGTCCTTTATCATCATCATTATTTATCGTCTGTTTAGAAATTTTATCAAATTACATAGAAAAAGATAGTGAAATAAAAGGATTAAAAGTTGAGGACAAAGAAATAAAACAATCCTTCTTTGCAGATGATGCAACTTTCGTAAACGATGGTTCAGTTAAGTCTTTCGAAAAACTTGTCTATGTGATAACAGAATTTAGTAAAATTTCCGGTTTAAACCTTAATTCAAAGAAATCAACAATATTACGAGTCGGGTCATTTAAAGATACTAACATAGAATATTGTAAAAATAGAAAATTTAAGTAGACTTCTGATTCAGCAAAAACATTAGGTTTTTTATTTTCGTCAGATTACAAGAAAAATACAAACATAAATTTAGAACCTAAACTTCAAGATTTTTTCAATTGCTTAAAGCAGTGGGAACACAGAAAGCTTACTTTGATGGGAAAAGTTATAGTGATAAAAACTTTTACATTACCAAAATTAATATATCCTTTTTCAGTTTTAGCAAACAAGAGGAAAGAAATAACTAAAGCGATGTTTCACTTTCTATGGGCAGGAAAACCAGAGAAAAAAAATGCAAAACTTTAAAACTTAATATCAAAAATGGTGGACTAAAAATGATAGACATTACATATTATCTTAATGCAGTAAAAGCAAGCTGGGTAAAAAGGTATATAAACAAAGATAATGAGAGTTCATGGAAACTTTTTGTAAAACACAAGATAAAGCAAAATGGAAATGATTTTATCTTCCAATGTAATCTTTCAAAAAATGATATCAATAATTTATATCCACATAATTCGTTCATGAATAATGTTCTTTCGTCTTGGTTTCACATTCAGCATGAACACAATAAAAACAAAGATAATGTTAAAGACATAGTATGGAATAACGAATTCTAGCATTAAAATTGACAACAAACTGGTTTATTATAAAACATGGCATGATAAAGGCATACTTTATATAGAACATCTTTATGATTATAGGAGAAAAGCCTTTTATAAATATGATGATTTTAAAGAAATTTACGGAATAGAAAATGCTGATTATTTAAGATACTTTATGCTAATAAACAATATACCAAAACAATACCTTGAGAAACTAAAAAATAACACAACTTATATGGAAGAACAAGATACGCTTCTCAATAAAATTCAAAAATCCAAAACAATAAATAAACTTTTATATAATATCCAACTTGAAAATGATGAGAAGGTAAAAAATAAAAATGAAGAGCAATGGGAAAAAGAAATAGATATAGAATTGAATTGGATTAAGATATATACTATACCACTACAATGTACTATAGATGTGACATTAAGAAATTTTCAGTATAAGTTCATCCATAGACTTACTGCAACAAACACTATGCTTTTCAAATATAATCTATGCAATTCAAATTTGTGTGATTTTTGCTGCAGTAGTTTAGAAACACTTCATCATCTATTTTGGGAATGTAATATTGTGCAAAATTTATGGTCAAACTTGCATTCCTTTCTCTTATCCATTAATCTTCATTTTTCATACAGTAAAGAAACAGTGTTTTTTGGAGAGCTTACAACCAATATAAATAGTAATGTAGTAAATTATATCATTATTCTAATGAAATATTACATTTTAAAAATGAAATATCAAGGAACAAAGCCCACTTTTGATATTTTTAAAAACTTTTTGCTGTTAAGGATACAGATTGAAGAAGCAATTGCAATGTCAAATGATAAAATTGAATCATACAAACAAAAATGGAGTAATTTATCTAACACTTTAACAAACAATACTGATGACTAAAACAATAATATTATGTAAATTAAACGTATAAACCATAAAACGTAAAAAATTAAATGAAACTGATTCACTTGTCTTTTTTTTCCTGTCTTGTGTGTGTGTGCGTGTGTTGGTGTGTGTGTGTGTGTGTGTGTGTGTGTGTGTGTGTGCGTGTGTGTAAGAATGATAGTTTTTTAAGTAGATTTATTCTTTTTCTTTCTGAATTTTTTGAAGGTTTTGTTTTTACTTTTTTTTTCTGTGTGGAGTTTCTATGTAAATGTGAATGATTGTGTTTATATGTTTTTGAAAAATAAAATAAATGAAAAAAAAAAAAAAAAAAATCTATGTGATCTTTTATAAAAAAATCTCAGCATATTTTCTCAAGCGTAATTTCCTTATAATATTTTCGCTCATCTAAAGTCATGCACGAAAAGGAGAAATTATTGTTAACACGCTATAACTGAAATATGCGTTTGCATATAAAAATAATTTTAGGTGAAAACCAGCTTGCATAGCAGTCTTTCTTGGAGTTGATATGATTTGACATTTATGTATACATTTAATGAAAATGATAAAACTCAACGAGTCTTTTGCAAGTAACGAGTCACTTTAAATGTATTTTGAATACACAACTTCTATCATTCTATTGACAATCTAAAAGTAACATTTCAGTCTTTTACGGCATGGATTCAAGAGTTTACTCATGTTCAAGTAATAATTGCTGTTTAAGTCATCCTTGAGTAAAATTAAACAGAACAGCATTACCGGCAGATGGTATATAGGAAATGACACCTGGAAAATAATAATATTTTTCTGTTTTATTTAACAATAGAACTTAAGTCAATGCTACCTCTTTTGTTCGGCTGATGATTATAGCTACAAGAATTATAGCAAATATTATAATTATATATAAAGATTTTTTATGTCTAATTAAATTTTTTATTAATGTTTATCATGCGATAAAACAGTTAAAGTATATCGAACTCTACGAAAAACAGAAAAGTTTATGGCTTCTAGGGGTCAATTCAAGCTTCCATAATTTTCAGTACATCGTTTTATATTTCACTACAGTATGCTGCAGACCCAAAGGCATAATAAAAGTTGACATACTAGGTAATGACTTTATTAACGGATCATGATAAAAACTGAAGTCAAACCTCACGCTTGGCAAGCGAAACAGACGATACCTTTGAAACAAGAACAATCCAGCTTTCACGTCACTCAAACAACTTCAAAATGTAAATACAAAGTGAAATCCAAATTGATTTGACATATACGAGTTCGATACAAGTAACTGGTATTGCTTCATAAAGGCAATCATGCCTGTGCCATAAAAGAGCCATAAAAACAGCACCTATTTTCTTGTACTTCAACTTCCATGGGCTTTTTGAATAAACATCGTATAGTAAATAAAAAATTTCGATAGACTTTGCCTTCGACATTCCCGGCTGATTTTGTTGATTTTTAAAGGATGAACAGACTTTGACCTCGAGCTTTAAAACAACTTTGACGGTCAAGGTCAAATTATTGAATTTTGGTTAAGTTGTCATGTTCGGATTTGATTTATGCGTGGATAAAACAAGACTTGTTTCAAAACATACTCGTTGAATAATTTAGAAATGACTGTGAAATTTACTTGACCTTGACAGTCAAGGTAAAATTATTGAACTTTACTTATTTTCTTATCATCTATTTGGGTATTTTCTGAACTTTATCATCTTTTTGTGAAAATGATTCATTCTTGTACAAAATAACAAGACCTATTGAAATAAAAATGAAAAACTTTTTTCTTTAATTTTCTTTCAAAACTTTTTAACTTCAACCGTTTATTTGTTTGCTTTTGCAATAAAAGTAAACAAAAAGTCGAGCGTTGTCCCCGCGTGGCGGTGGCTCTTGTCACTTAAGTAATCTTAAATTTTGCATTCACGTTACTGATCTTGTTCACGAATTCAACCTCACGAGTTCACGATTTCAACTTCACGAATTAACGATTTAACTTCATCAATTCAAAATTTTAACTTCACGAATTCACGACTTCATCTTCACGAATTCAAGATTTCAACTTCATGAATTCACGAATGTGAAATCGGGAATTCGTGAAGTTGAAATGTCTCCATAGGGTTTTTGATAGAACAGAACACATTTTTTTTTACTTAAGCATGTATACAGCTTATCATCAATTATGAAAATATACATTCAATCACATGCAAATGTGCAAATAATAATAATAATAATACTAACTTTATTTACAGAAGGTAACACGTTAAAACATATATACAGATTGTTACACCTTATTTACAATGCGGCCTTCTAATAATAATAATAAAAAAACACACAAAGAAACATAGAAACACACACACAAAAGAACACATATCAATCGAAGAAAATAAAACATGTAAAAGAAATGATTAAATGGTTATCACAATTTTAACATGTATCTTAACACATATACTGAACATTAATATAATTCATTTTATCTATCATTAAACAAAATACTTTCTTCAGTGCATCATTTTAATTTGCAATTTACAAAGTAAAAAAAAAACTTACAAAATTAACAGTCAAAAACTAAAAATTAAGACAGACACCCATTAGTATTAAACAACAGTTAGCGTCGAAATAATAAGGGTTACAAACCCTTATTTAGAATTATATGGTTTTCTTTACAAATTAGGCCGTTTACATATAACTTCACCGTGGCCGATGGGTTTGCAATTCAAATCCCAGTTAAGGCAACACATTTTTTTTTCAAATTGTTTAAGTCAAATAAACAATGAATTGAATATCAGTGTTGCAATTTGTCTTATAGCCAGTTTACTAGAATTAAAACGCTGGAAAGCATTGGTGGCACTATACAAAAACAAATTGGTTTATAATCTCACAACCTTCGCCTTTCTGACATTCTGAGACCCAAACAAATTCAGCGCCTTCTGTGCTTTGATTTTATATATGCCAATCAAAGATGAAAGTCAACCGTTAAAGTTTTATTCTGTGTTGTAAGATAGATGACGTCATTTGAGCTACTTCCGACCCTTGTATGTAAAGGCCCCAGAGCGGGTTATGTAAGAACTTAGAAGGGATGCTGTGATCCGAACTTTGACGGAAGGGGCCGAGAGATGCGATTGGTTTTTGATATGTTTAGTGGTGTTCAACCTCATAATATATATATTTTTTTTTTAACTAGTGTACTGTTACCTAAAACTACGGAAGACTCCAAAGTTGAAAATGCCGAAATGATATCAGTAACAACTGGTCAGCGGTAAAAGAAATGAAAAGTAGAGCATAATTGTTTCATAAACGTTATAAAAACAATTTCATTCATTTTGCTATCTTTAATACAAACGTAAAGTTAAATAATAAAACATGAAATGAAGATGAACAATTGAACCCAAAGGAGAGGTAAAGAAAACAATGAGAATAAATCAGTGTAAATGGAATTATCTAAATTGTGCATTGGTCCGAGATCTTATACAAACATTGCAAAGCAAAACCCTTATTATAGTTAGATATATTAGATATGTATCAATGTTCACAAAAACTTGGCGCGTTGATCGGACAAACTCCTAGGCCCCACAACCCACACACATGAGGATAGACATTATAGTAATGAACCTTTCCTTATGGACCTTAACAAATAATAACCAGGGATTTATACTACAGCCATATATAAACTGCAGTTTCTTTCAAGTAAAATGTTAATATATTTTATAAATGATTGTGAATCAATTTTCGTCATTTCTGATAAGAAAAATATCAGAACTCACAGGAAGGTATCAGGTGCCACTTTTTTACATTTATCAATAACAGGCCTGAGTTACCAGACATGTGGGACCCAGATATATAAGCTAGATAGCTGCCTCACACATGAATTTAAAATTCAGAGTATATGACAGGAGTTGAGGTAAAAAGGTCAGGAATACATGGCATATTGATGATGCAGCACATGTCCTTTCCAGAACTTGCCCAGACCCTGCCATTAACCATTTTAGCAGACATGTTGGCATACATGTCTATGTCCCCGTCAGGAGTTTAGTATTAATTGAAGATAGATAGTAATTTATGGCAGCCCCCCAAGTTGGTAAACGGGTGGGAGTGGTTTCGTCTAACTACCGGTTCGTCTAACTGATCTTATATAGTAAAACAGGTAGTGGTTTCGGCTAACTTAATTTATATAGTGAACAATAGCTATTGTATAATGTATAATGGGCACATTAATTATCGCGGGTTTTAATGTGTGGTTTATCACACATTTTCATGCAATTAAAGACAAGAAAAATTGAAAATTTAAACATATTTTTTATTCTTTTCTTTAGTATAATAATGATATTTACATAAATAATAACACAAGATCTCAGTGAATAAACAACATCATAGAAATATATATACGTTTATATGTACAACCTGAAAAAAAAACTAAAGAGTCAACACAAATTACATTTCACACAAGTTTATTTTTATAATCTATGTTAAACTATATATACACAAATAGTTAAAGCTGAAAAAATGCCTTTAATCGGAATAAAATCGACATATATACTAAAAAAACAAAGCTCGAAAGAGAAAGAATTAATAACAATGCATAAATACATAAAAAATCCACGTACGTAATTATTATAAATAACACATATTTTTTAAATACTTTATTTTTCTCTATATAAACAAATATGAGGTATGCATATTATTCAAAAGAATACGTCATGATTTCTATGTAATAAACAACAATCTGTTTTAATTCTTTATTCACCACTCAATAGATATAAAACTATGATTTAAACGTTTTATTATATTTACATATACATGAATAAATATATATACGTATATACGAAAGTAAAACCTGAAAAAAAGAATAATTTATAAAATTTACACAAATATATACACATTTATACAACCTGTAAAACATATTTTTACTAATGTCAACCTATATTCACAAAAGGTAAAATTTATACCATTATTATTGTAGTAATTGAAGCAACGCATATTTTTTAAATTCTTTATTCATCTCTTTATAATCATGCATAGTATTACAGAGTATACACCATGGCTTTTACGTAGTATTAAGCAATAATTTTTTATTCTTTATTCATCACTTTTTTATATATATGACACTTAAAAATCGTCCTCATAAATCCCGTCGTTGATGTTGTTGGATCCTATTCCGGTAATGTGGCTGCACAGTCTTAGTAGTTGGGAAGTCGTCATCTCATCATCTTCGTACTTGTCCCAGGCGTCGAATAAGGCTCCATGGATTCGGGCGTATCTTTTACGATGTAATCTTGTCAAGAGATGCTGCGAAACTAGACGAATTTGAAGATCAACAACCTCAGCCTCCCTCTTCAATAATGGTAGTAACATGTATAATCCCAAGTCCGCACGTCCTGCTCGTGTGTTGATCCTTCTGTGCCATCCTGTAATGAATAATGTCGAAATAAATGTAAAGTTGATTTAGTAAACATACAACGTCAATGATTTCAAAAATAATTTCCTATAATTTTTTATTTAGAAATATATCAAAATATATCAAAATTCACAAATAGACATTTACTAATATATTAATATATTGTATTATAATTGTTTCAGGATCTTACCTTCAACGTCGTTGTTCGTCCGAACGGTCTCACGGAATACACTCCAGTGAATCGGCTGCCACAAACTACCGTTGATCCACGTCCTCTCCACGTACTCCATCACAGCCAATATTGGTCCACCAACTTCCATAGCCTGGGCCATCAGCTGTCGGAAGGCAGGCGGGATCTGCTCACTAGGAAGAAAAGGCAGGGACATGACCTTACGGAGAAATTCATGTTTGTCCTGCTTATCTTGATATGAGGTGGCAAGACCTTCCGCCTGGATCTTCCGATACAGCCTCTGGTTCCAGTGGAAGACACATCCTTTCAGTACACAACTGGGGAACACATGTCTGATTGCTTGCCAAGCAGCTGAAAAATAAAATGATAAATTTTAATTTTTTAATTAAAATCATAAGTTAATTGAAATGCAGCAATTTTTTTATTACTTATATTCTTTATTAAGAGAATACATACCTGCTTCAAAATCCAACATGAACCACTGGACTTGTGGCTGTCCTAATATTCGGCGGAGGCTGGTCAGAACGGCGACGTAGTCTTCTTTCGATCTTCTTGACATCAGTACATACACCAATGGTACCTGTTTGGCGCTGTCATCTTTCCTCACGAAGGCATGAATAGACATCAGTTGATAGAATGGCCTCTTCACCAGCTTGAACGTCCCATCTATAAACCAACGCGTCGCTTGTTTCAGAATCTGTAACTGGTCCGCTGATTATAGTTACATCTACATGTATATATCTATATATTAATAAATTGAACAGAATGACATAGTCATTAATGGTGATTTCTATGTAATGGAAGACTATATATAGAAAATAAAGAAATTAACGACATACCATACGATTATATGTGTGACCATCACTACTGACGAGTTTCGGTGCCCCACGCTTGGTACCCCCATCTACGAGTTCGAAAGTCAATGGCCTGTCTGGTAGTATTACATCATCTAGTGGAATATCTGTAGGTAATCTAGCGTCAGGTGGGGCCTGCTGTCGGTTGTGGTCTCGTTCTTGGATATGAAAGGATCTGTCTTCTAGGTAGGTTGAATTCGTGTTCATGACGGTTGATTCATCTTCTTGCATCTGGTGGACTTCATCGTCTCGGACAACGTACGTGATGTTCATCAGTTCATCTTGTAATGGAGAATCTGGTGTATTTTCGGGTGCTTCGTTAACACATCTGTCACAGAACCATTCTAACTCTAGCGTTCCGTTTACCATCTGTCGGTACTGGTCTGCCGTCAAACCAGTACTTCCCCCTGAAACAAAAAATAGAAACAATTGTTATATATGAGTCTAAGAAGTTCTCTATATAAGTGCTATCAATAGATTAGAAAATGACAATTGTTGTAAATAAAATTTGTATATTCAATAATTTTTAGATATAACATATATATGCTAATTAAATATAAAGTTAAAGAATTCAGTTCATATTACATTTTAAAAAAACTCAGTTTAAATTTCATTAAGTATTTAACCTAAAATGAAAGTTATTTACCTTTCTTGCACTTCCTGTGCTGCCAGTTTGCGCATCCGTCACAACAAACAGCATGCTGCCGCATGGTGACCATCTCGGAGCAGTTAATACAAGTAAATACGTTATCAGCCATGATTGCTAATGACAGATTCGTAAATTGTTAACCTTTTATATTGATATATCTTGAAGACATGCATCACTTTCATATCTAACTGTGGAACTTTGTTGTCAGTTTTAGGCAAACACGCACGCCTATTACAACATTTCAACACCTTTATGATATATGATTAGTGTTAACTGATCGGCTGATAAGACAAACAAACTTTCTCTGTCATCAATTATAAACAATTGATTTATTTCGTAAAACAAGCCCTAACTAAACAATTAATTTTGCAAACAAAATAATATTGATTTTTTTTGTAATTTATTCTTGACTCAAAAATAATTTATCAAATAACGAAAAAATCTTTTCAAAATAAGTATAATATATAAACATACTTCTACATACTTCTACAATATATTCTGTTCATTAATGATATTTGCGTCTTAAACTAATTATAACAAAATATTGATGATAAAAACACTATATATATGAACCACGTCTACTTTGCCTTTAATTACTATATAACATCTGTTAGACGAAACCACTTTCGCACCTCTTCATAAATTAAGTTAGCCGAACCGGTAGTTAGACGAAACCACCATAATTCTGGTAAACTAATAGAAATATTGCCTGTAGTAGAATTTACAGTAAAATGAATTTACTTTTCAGAATCCATATTTGAGGAAGATTAAGACTTAGCGATGAAAGGTTTTCCGACTTCTGTGCCTTTGAAAATTAGCTTCCTGTTGCTCGTTTGGATTGTAACCAAAGTTACAGCTTCCATTGGGGACAGGTCATATGTGTATCAGAGATGCAACCATCATTGTGAAAATGCAAATTGCACTGGTACACAGTTAAAGATATTCAGGTATTTTGAATACTTTTTCTACTTTTCAGTTAAGTTTAGTTTTAGTTTGATCTTTTTTTTCAACAATCGAAATTTTCTATCTCATTTATATTTTACTCCTAAAATTGTAATAGGGACAAGAAACCAAGATACATATTGCAGGGCTTCCATTAAGTTTGAAAATTTGGAAGACAGAGACTGCAAAATGTCTGCCATTGGAAGTATTTTGAAATAGGTAAAGAAGGAAAAGGGTTATATTTTTTGAAGTCAGAAGCCAAATTCAGGAGTTAATGGCTCCCAAACTTCTAGGCCTTTAACATCTTAAGGCACTCTTGAAAACAGACTAACTTTCTCAACAAAAAATGACTGCCAAATTGATGACAATAGCTTGGTATTTTATTGGAACATGTATATGTTATTTTACAGGGAGCAACAGCCATTCAGTCATAGTTTACTGAGATGGAGTTGTGAGGATGAATGTAAGTACATGTGTATGTGGATCACAGTGGATGCCTTCCGGAAAGATGGACTCAAAGTTCCACAGTTCCATGGCAAGGTAACACTGTCTATATTGTATACATGTGTTCAATATAACTTTCAGAGTCAATGTGGAAATACCATATGGAATGAAATAATTTCTGAAAGTTTGTTTTTATTCTTGTTTAGATATATTTCATGTATTTTCACTTGAAACAAAATAAATAAGAAATGTATTATTCCATCCTTTATCTACATTGTATGTAAATAATTTTTATAATAGCAGAATAGCATCCATTCTTTATCTATTGTCATTGTATGTAAATAATTCTTATAATAGCAGAATAGCATCCATTCTTTATCTATTGTCATTGTATGTAAATAATTCTTAATAGCAGAATAGCATCCATTCTTTATCTAATGTCATTGTATGTAAATAATTCTTAAAAAAGCAGAATAGCATCCATTCTTTATCTATTGTCATTGTATGTAAATAATTCTTATAATAGCAGAATAGCATCCATTCTTTATCTATTGTCATTGTATGTAAATAATTCTTATAATAGCAGAATAGCATCCATTCTTTATCTATTGTCATTGTTTGTAAATAATTCTTATAATAGCAGAATAGCATCCATTCTTTATCTATTGTCATTGTATGTAAATAATTCTTATAATAACAGAATAGCATCCATTCTTTATCTAATGTCATTGTATGTAAATAATTCGTATAATAACAGAATAGCATCCATTCTTTATCTATTGTCATTGTATGTAAATAATTCGTATAATAACAGAAGAGCATCCATTCTTTATCTATTGTCATTGTATGTAAATAATTTGTATAATAACAGAATAGCATCCATTCTTTATCTATTGTCATTGTATGTAAATAATTCTTATAATAGCAGAATAGCATCCATTCTTTATCTAATGTCATTGTATGTAAATAATTCTTATAATAACAGAATAGCATCCATTCTTTATCTATTGTCATTGTATGTAAATAATTCGTATAATAACAGAATAGCATCCATTCTTTATCTATTGTCATTGTATGTAAATAATTCTTATAATAGCAGAATAGCATCCATTCTTTATCTATTGTCATTGTATGTAAATAATTCTTATAATAGCAGAATAGCATCCATTCTTTATCTATTGTCATTGTATGTAAATAATTCTTATAATAACAGAATAGCAGCCAAATTTATTGATGAAACTGAACAAAAGTGCAGGCAGACCTGTCTTTATACTGTTGGCACAGGCAAGGAATTATTACTGCTTTGTTTCACCGAGTATTATTATTGTATTTCAGTGGCCATTTGTAAGGTTGTATGGAATACAGGAACCAGCCTCTATGATATTCTCTGTATTTAATGGACTTGCTCATCTCAGTATCTTTTACTACCGGAAACTGGTACCGTCCTCTACACACATGTACTATGTCTGGCATGGGGCTGCTATTGTAAGTTGTCGTTTTAGCTTTTTTTATCATAAAGGGAAATAACTCTAGTTCTTTTCCAGAAAATTATATACAGTATGTACATTATGTAATAGCTTTATTGCAGTTACTATGTTACTTGACTGGTCTGGAATGAAATTCTGACTATCTTAAAAATGAATTGTAAATCGATATGTGATTATTTGCTTTTTGGTATAATTGTATTCATAGTAAAAATTGTTCTTTCATGTTTTTACACTGAGTGATACAACACTGAATTGCTGTAAAGGTAAAGAATGAAATGATGGTCTTTTGATAAAGGTGATTTTTATCCAGAGGGTATTTTAAAATTCTTAATCCTATGTTTTTCTGATGAATTTGTATTTTTATGGCTAAATCTAGTTAAAAATGTCTAAGCCATTTTGTTTTGATTTTCTGAATTCATAAAAAATTTTCTGGGCTGCGAAATTACAGTTTTAATACGATAAATGGTAGAGTGAGACCTAATATTAATGTTTTGAATTTTGTATATGACATTTTAATACATGTAAATTACATACCAATTTTTCTATTATCATTGAGTACAGAGTACATGTATCATAATTGTAAAATATACTATACAGAGTCGTGTTATTATGACAAGAGTGTATGTTTTATATACAGACAGCCATGAATGCATGGACGTGGTCTACAATATTTCATTGTAAAGATACAGACTTCACAGAGGTAGGCTGCTGGTATATTTCTATATCTTGTATGTAAAACAGTCAGGTAAAAGTGAGTTCAATTCATGTCCAATTACCTTATTGGTCCAGCCATGGATGTGAATTATTAGAAAGTAAAATCTTGCAAGCTGAGGAAGTTTTTCATTTTAAGCCTAATAATCAACAGCTGTGGAAAAAATTGGAGTACAGCTACTTTATCTGTATAGGTTGATATCAAATTTCATATTTATTTAACATTTGTATGCCCCTACTTATGGGCACAGATAGATTTGCCCTTTTCTTGTCAGTTTCACTCTCAAACTGTCCTGTTGTTATTCCATAGACTGTCGAAAGAATCAAATATGGGGCATCTGTGTCCAATGGGTGCATTTTTAGTTTCACAAAAAAAGGACAAAAATAAACAGACATAAAAATTAAGATTAAAACTTCCAAGCAAAGTTATTTAGTGGGGCTAGTTACTAACAAATATTTACTTTGAATTTGGGATTTTCACTAGCTCAATACCTAATCTGCTAGTCTTTTTATGTCAAATTTTTGCTAATTGAAATATTTGAACAGTTTGTATTTTAATGTTTCAGAAAATGGATTATTTTTGTGCCTTTTCAATTGTGCTTTACAACACATTTACTCTGGCGTGCAGGTATGTTGCTCTTTAATAAACATTTTAATTCTATAAAGCTTTAAGAAATAAAGGAATACATTTTCTTCTACCACTAATGCTATGAAAGTCATCTGGTGTAGTAAGATCAGCACTAGTCAGGTGGAGGAAGACTGTAAGTTCCCCTCCATGTTTTCTTGTAAGCACCTGAGTAAAGCTTAACAAATATTTTAATAAGCTAGCTGGATAGCCTCTTTTGAGATAATCCAAATGTACCTGCAGATATATTACCTTAGTAAAGCTAAAAACAAATGCTTGTTAAGCTAGCTGGATAGCCTTCTCTTGAGACAAACCAAATGGAGATACAATGTTTGAACCGTAATTGGTGAGGGACAAGTCATTTTAAAGCTTGTTACCTTAACCACTGTGCCAGGATGGTCTTTACTTTTAAAAGTTCCTGTATAACCAAACACTGTCAGATATTCTCTATCTAAATATTTCTTATTCATTCTTAATATTTGATGTAACAAAAATAAAAAATTACCTTCAAGTTTAGAGTGTCGCTTATCTGAAAAAAATTATCCAAAGAATTAGACAGTGTTAGCATTATTGATAGATGGTCAGTCTAGGATCCTTATGCATTCATGTTTTGATATATATTATGATATTTTTAGTCTTATTTCTACATAAGTGGGTGTTATTTTAGGGTACTAGGTACTGGGACAATGTACAGACCAGCCCTTGTAGGCCTAGCATGTGTGACTTTATTTATTCAACATGTGTCATACCTAACATTTAACAAGTTTGATTATGGCTACAACATGCAAGTTAATATAGGAGTTGGTAAGATCTTTATTTTTAACTTGACTATTCAATATTATTATTATTATTATTATAAAGTACTCACCCTATCATCAGGGGGCACACTTTGGTTAAGTTTTTTTTTTATACAAGTTGGTTTTTTCAAGACTACTGAAGAGAATGGGTTGAAACTTCACACAATTATGTGAGTGGTAGTGTAGTGGTTAAGGTGTCTGCCTCTCAATCTGTAGATCATGGGTTCGAGCCCTAATCGGGTCACAACCATGTTTCTTCATATGACACCAGTAGTGGTTGGATCCAGGAAGCATACTGGAAAGTGATTAATATAAGTTGCAAGAACTTGTTTCACAATCAAGCTTAAATAAATATGTTTAAACCAAATCTTATGTGATAGTAAAATAGGAGGTCCATAACATTTGACTGCCCCTTTTTGAACTATGTAAATTCTACATTATCCAGACTCTTGATTTACTATCAAGCACTGAAAATAGTCAAACAGTCTTACTGAAAGCTCTTGTTCTGTCACAGATTGGAAGTGTTTATCCCTTCATGCATTTGGGAAAATACATCATACATGTATGCTTAATAGCCTTAAATATTTTTCTTACCGGTACTGTGAATAACCTGCTTGCATAAAAAAATCTCAGTGCACAAAAACTCTAGGATAAAATAATTTAAATGCCTTGTGATGTTAGATTTAACCATTTGCAAGGATATAGGACAAACTTTTAACTCTATCTAAACAAGTAACATTAAGTGAGATATAGGGTTTATTGCAGGAAAGCCTGGCAGTTTGCTTGTACAGATTCTGATAGTTACTGCCTTGAACAAAATTTTAGATGATAATAATCTAATTTCACTCTGTCTGTTTTCAGCTGTATGTAACATGATAGGCTGGCTAATATGGTGTTTTACAATGAGACGGAACAGGTTTGTGTGGAAGGCTGTAGCTTCTATTGTTGGTATACAACTTTTGTTATGCCTCGAGCTTGGAGATTTTCCACCATTCTACTGGATTTTAGATGCCCATGCATTGTGGCATGCTGGGACATGGCCTCTAGCTTTCTTGTGGTATAGGTAGGTTCCAAATCTTTATATACTAGGGTTGTTCCAAAAGTTTGCATTACAAAAACATTCCATTATAAAAAATATTATGTATTTTTTTGCAGTTTTGAGATCACATACATATTTACCATCTGCATATCTAGCCACAATTTTGATAATCTATGACTGGGTGATAGGGAGTGTCTGTTGCCAAGTGGTTAAGGTCGTTGACTTCAAACAACTTGCCCCTCACCCCTGTGGGTTCGCATCCTGACATCTTTCATGTGAGGAAGCTATCCAGCTAGCTTACGGAATGTCGGTGGATCTACTCGGGTGCCCGTTCATGCCTGAAATAATGCACGGAAGGGCACCTGAGGTCTTCTTCCACAAGCAAAGCTGGAATGTCGCCATATGACCTATACTGTGTCAGTGTGACGTAAACCAAATCAAACAAACAAACTGGGTGATAGTTTGTTGTATTATGAAATCTTTTTAAATTGAAAGTTTGAAAGATTATAGAAAAAGCTGACAAATACAGCATGAATTATAACAATATTGTTAATCTTATCTATTGTTTTAAAGAAACAATTAAATAACCAAACCAAATTTGCTTTCTTTTAGTTTTATCATTGATGATGCCAAGTTCATACAGAAAACTAAACCAGAAAGAGTTTTGCCAAGCAAAATAGACTGATTCAATGTACAACAATCTGTTTTAATCATAGTAACCAGGATGTAGTGTATGTTTAAAGACTGATTCTATATACAATGGACTGGTTATGGTCTCAATTACTAAGTTGTGGACTGGTTTTTCAGACTGATTCTATGTGCATGAGACTGGTTATAGTTAAAGAAACTTGGATGTGGACAAGATCTTTCAGACTGGTTCTATGTACAATGGACTGGTGCCAGATTTTCAAGCTATATAAATTACAGTCAAAATTTAAATCAGAAGTTTTTTTTGAATTGTGAGTTTTGGCAATTGGATACCAATTGCTCCATTCTGACAAAGTATGGATTTCATAGATTTATATATTGTGAAAATCAACTGAAATCCATATATGCTATTAAAAGAGTCCATATATGGTATGAAAGAAATGATCCCATGTAACTTTAATGTTTTAAAAGTGAAAAGTGTGTTGAAAAAAATGTTCATGAACTATCTAATGATCAAAATGTTTTATGTATTCAAGAATTGGTGCCATTTTGATAATATTTTCAAAGATCAGATTTTATCTGTATGTTTTTATGAATGTTGCGAAAATCTTCATTTATTATATACATTGTATTTCAGGTTTTTGAGGATTGTGCAATCAATTATTTAAAAACAACTCATGTCCTATTACAAGTATACTGGTCAGAGAGATAACTCCGACGCATAGATAACCCCGACACTTGATAAGTATAATTGTTATAGCTTTGTTTTTCAACAAACAAGCACATGATCACCTAATAGTATAGAATGTGATTCTTTATTATAATTTGGTAAACTGTTTAATGTTTTTCAAATAACCTAAACTTTTTGTAGGCAAAACTGCTTCAAAACGTTCTTTTTACTAAATTACAATAAGGTAGTTAGAAATGTATTGACCACAGGCCACTGTCTTGGGAAAGATTGTTAAAAAATTGTTTAAATATTTACAAAAAATAGATAAACCATATAAGATGTAAAGATAAATTATTGATGCTGATTTTCCAGTCTTTTTTTACTTAAAAATTTAAGTGTCGACTTTATCTACTGTTGTGGGGTAAAAAGACTATGTTTTGTATACCTCATTCAAGACCTTAAAGAAGTACCAGATTCCATTTCCATACATAATTTTTGTAGTGTAATGTAAAGTCTTTGAACTGAACTTTGCTTAGGTGGTTCAATATTTAAAATATACTGAAAGATAATTAAAATATTGCAAAAAAATATGTGATTTAGTGTCGGAGTTATCTCCTCCAACCAGTAGCCGTATGTTGTTTTTTTTTTCCTTTTTTTATTAGAATGCACAATTTTGTTAAAATGTTTATGTTTGTAATGTACTCAAGTACATGTATGCTAATTTTGATGTGATATGAATATTTTAAAAGTGCTATGTTGCAATCTTTTGTTTAGTTATAGAGCACTTTCTGTAACAATTTTACAACACCTGTTAAGAGCCTGTGAACAAATGATCTATCACCAAAATTTATATAATGATTGTTACAGATTTATATCATCTTGTTAAATTTCTGGCAGTAATATAACACAACAAAGTGCCTTATTATCCCCCGCCGATGGAATCGGGAGGGGGATATAGTTTTGGCGTTGTCCGTCCGTCCTTCCGTCCGTCCGTCCGTCCATCTGTCCGTCCGAATTTCGTTTCCGGAGTAGTTCTCTGCAACTAATGGCTGGAATTCAACGAAACTTTATGGGAATGTTGATCAGCATGTGAAGTTGTGCACCTGGGTATTTTCGTCTGGATATTTTTAGTATTTTTAGAGTTATTGCCCTTGACTTAGTAAAAATTTTTTTTTCGTTTCCGGAGTAGTTCTCTGCAACTAATGGCTGGAATTCAACGAAACTTTATGGGAATGTTGATCAGCATGTGAAGTTGTGCACCTGGGTATTTTTGTCTGGATATTTTTAGTATTTTTAGAGTTATTGCCCTTGACTTAGTAAAAAAAATTTTTTCGTTTCCGGAGTAGTTCTCTGCAACTAATGGCTGGAATTCAACGAAACTTTATGGGAATGTTGATCAGCATGTAAAGTTGTGCACCTGGGTATTTTCGTCTGGATATTTTTAGTATTTTTAGAGTTATTGCCCTTGACTTAGTAAAATTTTGTAATTTTCAACTTGTGTTGCATGTAACTCAAAAAGTATTTGACCTAGAGTCATGAAACTTTACAGGAATGTTGATCAGTATGTGTAGTTGTGCACCTGGGTATTTTCATCTGGATATTTTTAGTATTTTTAGAGTTATTGCCCTTGACTTAGTAAAATTTTGTAATTTTCAACTTGTGTCGCATGTAACTCAAAAAAGTATTTGACCTAGAGTCATGAAACTTTACAGGAATGTTGATCAGTATGTGTAGTTGTGCACCTGGGTATTTTCGTCTGGATATTATTAGTATTTTTAGAGTTATTGCCCTTGACTTAGTAAAATTTTGTAATTTTCAACTTGTGTCGCACGTAACTCAAAAAGGATTTGACCTAGAGTCATGAAACTTTATGGGAATGTTGATCAGCATGTGTAGTTGTGCACCTGGGTATTTTCGTCTGGATATTTTTAGTATTTTTAGAGTTATTGCCCTTGACTAAAAAAATGTTTGCAATTTTCAACATGTGTCGCATGTAACTCAAAAAGGATTTGACATAGAGTCATTAAACCTTATTGGAAAGTTGCTCAGCATATTTAGTGTGTTCCTGGGGTTTCGCTTGTGGATTTATCCAGTATTTGTAGAGTTATTTCCCTTGACTTAGTAAAAACTGTTTCATTATGTTGTTATTTGATCCTTGAGTGTTAGAATCGACCAACTTTACAGGAATAATGATCAACATCACTAAATTACAGGAATAATGATTCACCTCACTGTGAAGCTATGAACCTGGGACTTTGCATGTGGATTTTTTTCAGTTTTGTTAGAGTTATTGCCCTTGAATAACAGTAGTATAAATTTGCAATTTTCAACTTGGGGTTTGCTTGGGGATTTATTCAGTATTTGTAAAGTTCTTGCCCTTTACTTAGTAAAAAGATTTTTAGTTTTCAAAAAATATTTGACCTAGACTAAGAGTCATAAGATTGACAGAACAGTGGCGCGGTGGGGGCACCCGTGTCCTATGGACGCATTTCTAGTTTTTATTAAAGAAGAATTAAAATGATTTGTTACAATAACATTTAAAAATATTTGAAAATTGTGAGAACCCTTCTTTATGCCTTGAATATGGCAATGAAGTCTGGAGATTAAGATGTTTTTACATCTAGGTGAGCTATTGTGATCCCCCACCGTCCGTTGTCGTGCGTCGTCAGCAATTTTTTTAAACAACATCTCCTCAGAAACAAATGACTGCACAGCAACCATACTTTACAGGAATGATCCTAGGGTGGTCCCCTGCCAAAGTTAATCAAATGGTTCCGGTCTGTTGCATAAGTAGGTCACAGGGCCAGAAAAGGAGTTTCAAAAATGCAAAATTAAAAAATCTTGTCTGAAAGTACAAGGCCTAGAGCTTTGATATTTGGTATATGATATAACCTATAGGTCCTCTACCAAAATTGTTCAAATTTTAGCCCTGGGGTCAAAATTGGCCCCACTCCAGGGGGTCATAGATTTTCCTTATATGTATATAGTGAAAACTTAAAAATTCTTCTTGTTTGAAAGTACAAGGCTTCAAGTTCAAAGAATATTACAGTTTATGCCATGATTAATATATAAATAAAGCCTTATGTCTTCAGTTGTTGTGTTAATAATAACCAGTACTCGGCGGGGGATATAAATTCAACGAATTTGCTTGTTCATTACTTTATTATCATTGTATTGTTTAAAGTTACATGTAATAGTTTAACACTTAGTCTGCTGGAATCCAAAGTAATAAGTTGTTGCCACCGATATTGTACCAGGTCAACTCGTGCTGCTGTTGGCTAGTATTAATTTATCATCTTGATTTTTCTATAAATTGATAATGGATAGTAAGTAGTTTCGAAAATTGAACCTGGAAAAAATTATTTCAGGAATTTTATAGTTTAATGGTTATTTTCTGATAAAATATGTTTGGTTGATTTTAATATCAAAATAATAAGATTTGGCAGCCAGCCAAGAATGAACAAATAGATTTGCAGGCCCGTTCTAACTATTTAATGATGACATGCTAGCACAATTAATTCTTAATACTAAACAAATAGTTTTATTCTTGTTGTTGTAGTACTGTATTTATACAGGATTTCATTGAACATTGTCAGGCGATAAAGCCAGTGTCTTTCAATTCAGTATTTTATAGTCATTTTATATTATATTTTTTCACGATAATGATAGAAAAAATATTGTTATATAGAAACTATTCATATCAGTTACGTAGCAAAAATACCATGATAAAATGATTTTCCTCATATAATCTGACTTGATCTGTGTGACACACCAGAGTTAAATTGTTATATCCCCTTGTACCTGCTGAATTTATAAAATTATCTTCTGCTGATTTGAATTTACAACAGACCATTGTAAATATGAATGCTTCAACATAATGAATTATTTTAGTTTTATTTTGGAGTACATGTATTCTTAATTGACCAAATTAGAAGCTTATCTATAAATGTGTGAATTTTTCTTTTAGTTTAATACATGTAACTTGATGTGCAAAATGACAGTTATTGATTTAGATTTTTATGTTTTCTTGACAAAAAGATCTATGTAAAATGATAATTTTGTTACAATAGAAGTGATAAAATTAATTGTTGTGAATTATTTAGAAATGATTATAATTCTTAGTGTGTCATATGAAAAATTCACAATGTTCAGTAAGTGTTCAGGTGCCCGGTAATTTAATCATTAAGGTTAAAGGTCAGAGTTTTAAGTTTAAAAGCATCTGAATGAGCTAAGGGCTTGTTTGAAAAGGAATTTATGCAAAATTTGACTTCAGTCGATAAGCATCTAAAATGTTTCCAAATTCATAATTACAATGTTTATAATACACATGTTTGCCCTTTCTAAAGAAAGTAAAAAATATATATTTATTTTATAAAAATATATTTATTTCCGAAGCTTAATGTTTCTTTAACCCATTGCTTCATGAGCATTTTGTGAAAAATGGCTGTTTTCATTGAAAAGTCTCCCGTTACAAGTTCAAATTGCTATAATACTATAAAAACTGCTTCAACACTAATCAAACTTGGCACAAATGTTGACTGGACCATTGTCCTTGCAACAAACATGCTCAGGCTTAAATTTTCTGTTACCATGGCAACGAGGGGACATCTCAAAATTGCCAAAAATCACTATTTTGCGTTGATTTTTTCCATCAAAATTGATTTCAAAGTGCTGCAACTTCTCAATGGATTGAGATAGAGTCAAATGCTTTTCAGCGTTGGTTACACGTTACCTTATGATCAATCTGGGGTCATTTACAGCCTCTCACAAGTCCAAAATTTTCTTGGCGATGAGGGGGACTCCGCCCCCCTTCAAACCCCCCAAAACAGAAGGGGGCACATCCCCCTTCTGGCAACCCCCTGATGTATCTTTTGGTTGGGGGGCCGCGCCGAAAAAAAGGTCACTTTTTTAACAACATTTCTCAAACTAAAACAAGTGTTTGGGGCCTAAATAAGGCATTTTTTCATCATTTGAGACAACAAAAAAGGGGGGGGTGAAAAAGGCGTTAAAAGGCGTGTATATGAAGTAATGGGTTAAGAGAAACAAATATATAGCAAGAGATACTATTTGAAAATATTGACATTCCATACATGTACTTTACCTTTCATCAAGCATTTGATACATGTTCTTATCAAGTGACCTTGACTCATTTTTGTTACTTTATTGTGTTGTACATGTGCATGTAATGTTAATGTTGTTAATTTTCTTGTTTCTTCAATCATGTTCATTAATTCTAATATCTTAAATGTTGAAGAATGAAATCTAAACTAGTAGTTGATAAAGCCTGTGCTTGGGGGCCGGTGAGATAGATATAATATTATTTATGATCTCTTATAAACAGATTTGAAGATATATTATGCTCAAAGAAAAAAAAAAAAAGATAATTACTATAATTATAGTCTCTTTTGAACTGTAAATGAGCATCATTTGAATACACACAGAGAAAATATGTTACGTTTTAAACCCTACACCTACAGGTAATCACAGTATGATTTCAGAGTCTCAAAACAATACTGGCAGTTTTTATAAGAATTTATAAGAATAGACCAAATAAATTTAACAAGTCATAAGAAATGCAGCTTCCCAAACGTAGTTTATACATTTACTTATTGGAATTACTTTAGATATATTGAGGAAGGATGTACTAGAGTTCAATATATTTCTGAAATAAAAATATTTAACCCAAAGATGAACATAGTATAATTATCATTTCAAGAAGGAATCTGCAATATTTAGATCTTTTTCTCGCATAGGACGTTGAATTACTTTCCTAATTATGAAAACTTATATTTTCATTTAGCACTTTTTTCCTATACAAGTAGTTGCATATGAATTAACAACTTCGTTCATAACACCAAAATGATGTCATCCTAAGAACCCAATTCATTCATCAATGGTGCGGAGGAATGACGTCAATTAAAGCATGCGACTTGTCTAACTTAGGGGTAAGTAGGACAGGTTTTTCATGCATAGCAGACTGGTATTTACGCGAGTTTCACCCATGCCGGAAATTTCATCCGGCATAGGGGGAGCCAGATGAGTCACGTGCCAAACAACGTCATTTTAGCGCATTTTATGTACGGACCGCGTTAAAATGACGTTGTTTTAGAAGGGAAATATGTGCTTAGGATGACGTCATTTCACCGTTGTTATTAAAGTTGTAAAGTTCATACGCTTTTGTGTGAAAATAGTTATGGATGAAATGACTTTAATTTCCATAAACATATATCATATTGAGGTAAACCATTTTAAATATGAAATAATATGGCAGAATATGCAAGAAAAAATATCTGACATGTTTGCAGTTCCGATAGGAATATCCTTCCCTTGAGAACTCGCCCATGGGCGAGTCCCTCGGACAGATATTCCAGTCCGAACCGCAACATATGACAGACATTATTATTTTAGCACCTGTGTTAGAAGTAGATAATCCTGTCTGATATGCGAGAAAAAAAAAAGAATGGTAAAAAATTTGTTCTTTGGTTAATTGATGTCATATGATTTGTAAGCATTCCAATTTTATGCTGTGCATATATACCGGTAATAATGAACTTGAGTTTCCTGTCTGTTTGATAGAGGAATAATGTGAAGTGTGTTCGAATAATAGTTACAAATGAGTTAAATGCAAGTTCATTTTAAAGGACAATGAAGGTCAAAGATACAAAAAAGTTTTTTTATGGACACAGTCTCAAAGACAACTCTGTATTGAAAATGATAAAAATGTTGCACAGTTCTTATGTGTGTTAGTAAATGTTTGTTCCTTTTCATCCTGTTTATGTTGTTTTATTACATGCTTTTCGGTGGTTTATTGAAATATATCAGTGATATAAAAACTGGTAATTTCACTGTTTGAAACAGTGAAATTACCACTTTGATAATTTCACTGTTTTTGAATTTAAGCCCCTTACGTTGTTTCAGTGAAATACCAGCGTGCACAGAACTGGGTACCAACTTAATGACGTGACGTCGTAAATGACGTCACGTATTATTATTTGGCGCGCTTTTCATTCAGTATTAGGTTTAATGTCTTTTTAAAACCTTTCTTTGCATATAATAAAAAGAAAATTTGTTTAGTTTAGTGTAAGATAGAAATATATTTCACCTTGTGAACACCAAAAGTTCATATTTCACTCGTGGCTGCGCCACTCGTGAAATATACCTTTTGGTGCTCACTCGGTGAAATATATTCCGATCTTACACTGAACTAAACAAATATCCTCTATTTATTACATGTTTTGCAGTAGATTACTGAATTATAACGGTTAATTATATTCTGATAATTTCACAGTAATGATTACAAAATATAATTTCACAGTAGCCGAACTATATTTGGCGTAAAAATAAAATATTTATCATTAATGAATTTTTTTTTTTCAGCGGAAATGTAGTCAATCATGATAAAAAATGTACGTGATAACTGTAGTTCGTAAATATTTACGAACGTTGTGCTGAAAAACATCTAAAATCTAAAAATAATCATGGAATTATATTTTGCTTCAACATTGTGACGTCATTATTTGATGACGTCATGAAGATAAGAGCATGACGTAACGCGGCAAAAATCAGTAAAATGGTGTAAAAATCGTTAAAAAATCATGAAATAAACAGAAAATTTGTTTGTTTTAGATGTAAGATCAAATAATATTTCACTCGAGAACCCCAGCTATTATATTTTCACTCGTGGCTACGCCACTCGTGGAAAATATTGCATCTGGTGTTCACTCGGTGAAATATTTTTCGATCTTACACTGAAACAAACAAATATCCTCTATATAATACATGTACATTTGTATTTGTTTTGCCGTTCTCTGTATGTTTTTGTATTTTTTCAAGTTGTCTTTAACCAGTTTTATCAGAAGTTTCCTAAAATCAATTGTTTTTGTATTCCTGACTTTTTAAAATAAATATTTTATTACCATATTCTTCACAGTTGTTTGTTGTACAATATTCTTGCTAAAAATAGCTGGAAAGGTATACTATCCTTGAACTCTTTGGTTTATACTGAATTTATTTTAGTTTGTGTAAGGAAGCTGCAAGCTTATTAACACACTTTCGTATCCATTCCTGGAACCAACCAGTACTGAGCAATGAGTGAAAAGTTTCTTGCTAAAGAAAACAATAACCTGCCCCTCACGGGGTTTGAACCCATGCAGCTTTCAATCATTATATTACTAGTCTGATGCATTAACCACTTGTCTATTACGCCTTTGAACTCTTTGTAAGGGTGTAGTTCAAATAAGGACAAAATGCACAAAAAAAATAAAGCTGTAAACTTTTATTTTATATCAATACATCGAAATAAACAACGCCAGAGGCAACATTCACAGTAACACATGATACAACAACTTTATCACAGATAGAAATGTAAAATACCTTTAAAAATACTCCATAATAACACATAACTGTCTCCGTACTAGTAAAATGTTTCAACTATAGATGATTTACTACTTTTCATTAATATATTTTATTTTCTTTGTACACAAATAACCAGTCAACTTTCATCTCTCAATACAGCATTCAAGCGACACTAGACATTCAAGATTGACATTAATTTATTACATATCAGTTGAGGAAAGGAATGAAGGGAAAAAAGACGACCCAACATTTTATCAAGATGTTGGTCTATATATGTGTCAGTACCAAGAATGCTTTCATGATCACGAAAACTTTCCTGTGATAAAATAAAAGAACTGTGCAGTTTTATTAAGTCTTTATAAAGACTGGACAGTTTATATGGCTGTGTATTTATAAGCAGTTGCTATATATCTTCGGGATATATGAGCTTGCAAAAGTTTGTATAGCCATATAAGCTATAAAAAATCTTTATAACTAATACTGCATGTTTGTTATGTCGCTTTTCATTGGATAATTGTGACATTTATATAGTTTTATATATACGGCTGCTGTCAATTTATGAAGAAATCTCCCCTTTTTATCTAAAAAGAAAATTTGCTGTATTATAAATTTGTTATAAATTTTCCTGACATAACATATGACCATATATAAACGATTGTTTGCAATATAACCCTTGCCTAGTGGCTTGGGCTATATTTCCAACCAACCGTTTATATAGGACCATATAACCTGTCAAAAATCTTAATAACTTTAAATATCATGAAATAAGAACAACAGGATGGATTATTGGTGAAAATAATTCAAATCACTACATGTGAGGTTATCAGGTTTACAAGAATCAGAAAGAAATATCATGCAAAGAATACATATCAGACTTTGGTAAAGTCCCTTTACTTTATATATAACCTCTCTTTGTATTTGAAACACTTTTAATAACTTTGGTAGAAGAAAACTACAGCTAACCAATATAAGGTATACCTGTAATTAACCAGTTTATTGTTAGGCATTTAAAATACTCACTGACTTAAGATAGTCGTCAATTATAAATATACACTAGCTCACTTAATGTCATAACTTTCATACAAAATTGATAAATGCATTTGTAAAACAATTACATTTTTATCTAAAATTTGGTAAAATATTGTGTATGTATGAAGAAGTGAAATACAGAAAATATAAAATTCACCATGATTTATCTATTTGTAACATTCAACAAATTTAATACCAGTAATAAGAATATTCTTAAAACATTGTTCTTTCAAAAAAGAAACCATATATTAAAACAGTTCTTTACATTTTTCTTTAAATACAAAACATAATTATATTCATCATTAAACTACCAAACAAATCCGAGTCTTTTCTTAGTTTTCACGTCATTCTGGTTCTGTTTTGTTTCTTCAGTTGAGTCCCTCTGATAATGAGGCATCTGTTTTCCTGATTTGTCCATAACCATGTAACTTGGTCTTATACCTCCCTTACCATCGAAAACTGGACCCGCACCGCCACCATGGCCGCCCCTTGCAGCTTTACGAAGTGGATACGTGTTTCTACCACCTTTCTCACAATGATCAATTACTTTGCTAGCATACTCTTGGAACTGTGATTCCTCAACGGCAAGTAACTCTACATTGGCCTTGTCTAAAGCTAGATTTTGTTGTTTCTCTTCAAATTCTTTATTCTTACGCATATCCTGAAGAAGAAAATCAAACAAAAATGTAACCTGGATATTTCACTGATTTAATTAAATAAAGACTTTAGAGATGAGATTTGTTCTCATGATAACAAGTCATTCAATGGGCTGTGATGGACTAAATTCATTTGCTCAAAAAAAGGTCAAATTCAATTTAATCTTCTTAAATGTCTTGACCCATGAGGATCATTGTGCCATAGCATAAAGGCAATCAATTTAAAGTTATTTACAAAGGTGCAAAAAAAATCAGGTAACACTTACTTGTTGATCTAAATGGAATCTTGCTACTCCTCTATTTTCGTCAAACTTTCTTGTGCGTTTTTCCTCTTCATTACGTCTGAAGATCTCATCAGCAGCTTGTCGTATACGGATTGTCTCCAGTTCTTGACGTCTCTCTTCCTTCTTCTTTTGTTCCGCCTCTTTCATCTAGAAAATAGACATACCATAAAACATGTAAGACAACACAATGGAAATGCTCCATTTATAAAAATTATAATGTGACTTTCAAAATTAGCTGGCTCAGAGGGAAATCTATAATTTCAGACATAAGTGAGCACCTATGAAGAACCTCCTACCTTTTGTAAGCTAGCTAGATACTACTAGATTCCTAACATGAAAGAGTTCGTGTCTATGGCTGAACCCACACAAACAGTGATTAGGGGCGAATGATTATAAGTTAGGGACCATAACAAGTCAACCACAAAAGCTCTATTTCAACTGAAAATTAACATTTTTGTGACTTAAGATTATTCATGTCACAAATAGATACTGCATATTTTCCTGTCTTTAGTGCACAAGGTAGTCAGATTATGTAAGAATTTCAAATTTTATGTTTTTATGCTTTTGAACCTCAGTTGAGTTCCTTTAACGAAACAATTATGTTATTATGTTTTCAACCTGAAACTTCATCCTGAATAGTTAAAATCTGTACACAATTTCTACATACCCAATATTTTTTATCTGCCATAGTTGTAATGAATACATTATATAAAGGGAAGTGGTGAAGATTTACCTGTAAATGTCTATGTTCAGCCTGTGATTGGATCGCCACTTTCATCTTAGCTTCCTTTTCTGCCTCTTCCTTTGCTCTCTTTTCTTCGGCTTCCTGTACTGCCTCACGTATACGCTCATCTTCATCATCCAGTTTCTGCTTGAGTTGAGCTCCCAACTTCTCACGGATAGCTTCAAGCTGACGCTGTTTCTCTCTGATATTATAATGATAATAATAATGATAATATACGATATTATAATGATAATATATGATATTATAATGATAATATATGATAATATAATGATTATATATTATATTATAATGATAATATATGATAATATATGATAATATAATGATAATATATGATAATATAATGATAATTTATGATATTATAATGAAAATATATGATATTATAATGATAATATACAATTAATTCTCACATGGTTCCTACTATTTCCAAATATAAAGAAGATTTAGCATTTGAGTGAGTGAATACACGATATAAACACAGTTTTTAGAAAGGATTTATGTAATCATAATGTAAAATATACCAACAATAAACAAACTTATCATATGTTTCCTGGAAACGTAAAAGGCTTTTATGATTTATAATGTGCCTTTCTGTACATTAAGTTGTTAGACCAGTAAAAGAAAGTTAATAATTATGTTTGACCAACAAAAAAAATGCCTCAAATGTTGGAAATATGTACATGTATAATAATTATCAATAAATAGTAACAATTCCAACAAAAATACTCTAAATTATTGTCATATTTAGATATCAAAGAATATTACATTCTTTTATATTTTCAGTGAAATACTAAAATTAATCAGGAATATAAAAGAAATCCAAAATATAACAGCTTGAATTCAATGAAATACAGATTTTTTTTATATTAGGGACTGACAAACTTTGTGCTATAGATAGTTATTTATCAACTGTTTCCAGAGTGGTTTCTAAATAATAATAATAATCATAAAAAAAGAGTAATAATCATCATGAAAAGTTGCATTCTATTACAGCAAGTAACAATGAAAAGACATTTTTCCACATGTGGCTAATAAGCTATATTTAATTCTAATGAGTCATGACCATTTGATAAAAAAACTATAAAAAAAACCACTAAATATCCTATAATTTGTTTACTCCTACTCAAGCATTTGGTCAGTTTAAAAGCAAAGACAATATTTTTTCTCACTGACTGAAGTATATCTAAGAAAACTATATATCTAGACTTACGCGTGAAGATGTTTTTCTTTCTCTGCACGGAGTTTCATCATCTTCCTCTTAGCAGCTGCAAACACCCGACATTCTTCATCTTCTTCCTATATGTCAGATATTAAATGTGTTAAATAACAATTACCATACATTATCCGCAGTCAAAGACCTTATCTTTGTCATTTATAAATACTAAACAAAACTTTACCTTAATTCAAGAAAAGATTATCAAATAATTTATTGTGTGTTTCCTTATATAGCAGGGATAAATATCTATCTAAATCATGTACAATTTTCAGAGATGTTTAGATAATATACTTTAAGACTTACTGTACTGACAAGTTTATTTATTTCGTTTGGATTTAAGTCTCATTGACACTGTTAAGGTCATATAGCAACTTCCCAGCTTTACTGAGGAGAATTGCCTCAGGTGCCTCTTCGTTACTAATTTCAGGCTCAAGTTATCACTTGAGTAGAACCACAAACCTTTTCAGATTCTAGTAATTTAAATAACATTTCTGAATTAATTGCAGTTTTATCATGTGACGAATAACACACTTTTACAAATGATATGGTGAAAGCGCAAAATATGAAATTGAAATCTTACATCTTCTTGATTCTCCTGTAATTTTTTCAGAGCTGTACGCTCCATTATCTGTTTACGATTATCATCCATGAGCTGTTGTTTCTCATCACGCCTGATCAACTCGAGACGTTCTTTCTCTAATTTGTTCTGTATTGCGAGCTTCTGTAGCTCCTCACCCTCGATGTTGTCTTCCATCCTAGCCTTGTCTTTAAGCTTGTGATGGTCCATTATCCTGACAAACACAAAAAAGATTCAAATTAACTCTTACCACAATAAATATATCTTAAATGGATATGTCAACCTTTCAATATGGACAAAACTATTCATCACTTTTTGGGAAATTTTCAAACAATGTACACACTGTCAATAGCAAACAATGCAGACCATGATCAGATAGCATGGATGTGTCAGTTGATTTTAGACTGCTCTGATTGCATGGGTAGAATCAGTTGCTGTCTCAGCAGACTAAGGAATAAGTATCTAACAAGTTCAACTAGGGTTTATCATAATTTATCTCATTAATTCATAAAGCAAAAGAATAAATCTATGAATTAATGCATAATTATCATCTGATTATTTTTTTGAACAAAAAATATTTATGAACCTAACTTCCTGAATGTCAATAACAGTAAACATTGAAACATTCATTTTCTGTATCTTACTGGATGAGTTTGTATGTTCACTTTAATTCATCTATTCTAATGCTAAACACTGATTTCAGGACACAATACAGCTTTCTTATAAGGGAAAAACACTGATAACTTGACATACTGTGCTTTAAGGAATCCCTGGTTTTCTGCAGCAGCTATAATTCTCTCTGCAGCTTTGGTCTGGTCCAATCTGATAGCCTCTTCATACTCTCTCTGGGCAATTTCTAGCCATTCTTTGTCCTTTCCGTGGCTTGCCTGTTCCTTCAGACGTTTAAGCTCCAGTTGGGCCTCACGTTCCTTCAATACCTCTGTCAGCATTAGAGCACTCTGCAAATTGGTAAAAGAAAATGAATAACAATATTATCAACCAACTTTAATGAGTGCTGCATAAATTTTATCAATGTTTATTTTTCATGTCATATGATGAATGTGTCTTCCTGTACGAAATTTTCTGCACGGAAATGGGGCGGAATTCAAAGGCAGATTCCGCCCAGAAATTTAAATTCTCCCCCGAATATACAAGTGTTAAACCATTTGCTTTTGGCACGGATTCCGGCCGGATTCCAGGCGGAAATGGAACGGATTCTGGGCGGAATTGGGACGAAATATGCAAATGAGTTGGGGCGGAATTTTGAAGTGGAATCTTGGGGCGGAATTTTGAAGCGGAATTTTGGGGCGGAACCTTGGGGGCGGAATTTCGGAGCGGAATTGTCAAACAAGATTCTGGGCGGAATTCTGTGACAGAATTCAGGGGGCGGAATTTTATGAGTTTATCATAATCACATATTTTGGGATAAAATTATCAATAATGTATCACATTAAATTTTCTTTCACAAAATTTAATAAAAAAAATATCATATCCTTTAGTCCAAATACAGAATAGAATACCCTACATTCACTATAACACAAACAGTTTTTTTCTAGTTGCAGGTTTTGGAATCTTAGAATCCAACACTTTGTTGTTGGTTTTTTGCAATTATTTTGCTGGAAGTGTTTCAATCATAAATTTGTTTCAAATGTTTCTTATTATTTAAATTACTATTTCTTTAATCCATGTCTGTTTTAAGTCCACTGCCTGTGTTTCCTAGAACTTCTTGTGGTTGTGCTCACCTTTAATAATAAAATTCATAATTAATTAAACAAATATTTTGTAATGAATTGAGCCATGTCATGACAAAACCAACATAATGGGTTTGCGACCAGCATGGATCCAGACCAGCCTGCGCATCCGCGCGGTCTCATCAGGATCCATGCTGTTCGCTTACAATCCCTATTACAAGTAGAGAAACTGATAGCGAACAGCATGGATCCTGATCAGACTGCGCTGAGGCGCAGGCTGGTCTGGATCCATGCTGGTCGCAAACCCATTATGTTGGTTTTGTCATGACATGGCTCAATTATGTTTTATTGCATAATTATATGCAGTTATATATTATATTTTTTAATAATATCAAATTTTATGTTTCAACAGTATTAAATATTTACTATGCTTATAAAGCATATTCAAAAATAGTAAAGCAACACAGAATCAGCTATTCAAGTGTACAAGTGTTTAAGAATTGCTCTGTATAAGAATTAACTGACTGCTTTATGTGTGACACTATTTAATACTGGTTATTCTTTTTTCAAGGAAAGATGTTGAATAGTTAAGTATAGAGATTTAAAAATATACCTTTTCAGGATTAATAGTCTGCACATCATTATTAAACACCTGGCATCTCACAGTCAGCACTTAAGTCCCTGAGCAGCCTACAAATTATGAGTGTAAAATGTAATTTTAGATTGTTCCATAGGAGAGACAACACAAACATGTAAAATAATAAATGATTATGATGACCCTGTTCAACTGTACAAAACTACTGATTGTACCAGTTAGTCCTATTTAATCAAATTCATTTAATTTGTGTAATTTCCAGGAAATGCAAAAGATATACTTACATGCTATTTATACAATATAGATTTACACAACCATTATATATTAACAAAAAAATCATTGAATAATTTTAACTTGCAAATTATACATGTATTAAAGATTTAAAACAATTATCAGAAAAAAACAAACAAATGTATGAAGTTGAAAATACTAAAACAACAATGACCTCTTGTTACAAATTTTAGTTGGCTACTTAGTATTGATACTGTCGTCATATAAAATTAATGTAACTAAAAGTTAATAATTACCTGATTATGTTATACATCTCCTTGTCCCAATTGTTATCATACCAATTACTTTAACACTTTGAGATCTTAAACAAAACTTTACTCCAAAATTGTTAAAATATCAAGTACATCCTCCACTCTTTTTGCTGACCCAGATATCTTAGAATTCAAAATTCACAACAGTTTACTGTATAATGGACCGGCCCATCATTATGTAAAACAGGGTTAATTTACTCATCATCTTAACTTTCATTCATTGAATGTAAAAGAAATATCAAATAACAAATAGATATATATAAATTTTAAAAAACAATTACAAATTTTTGTACAAAAAAATTGCAATATGTCCTAGACAAATTCTACATATGCAATTTATAATGTTATCTCTCCCCAAAATAATAACATGGAACAGCCTGATCTGTTGGAATGACCAGTCATGCGAAGATGATGGGAAACTGCTGGTCAGTAGAGTTTTATCAGAGCTCTGATCTGTGTAGTGTAAAATCTGTGTGAATATAATCTCAGTGAGAATATACATTGTAGTATTTATTTGCCTACAGTAAACAAGTAGAGATTTTGATGCTAAAGCATCAAGTCGCCGGATAGAAATATGATTGCATTATCATAATAAATAAAAGAAAATATCAGTTTAATTGTTCGAGTATAAAGAAAAGAAGAACAATAAGTTGAGTAATGTTTATTCAGAAACACGTTTTCACGTACTTGCCACAATTATATCTTTCTTGCTATAAACTTTGTAAAAGAGTTTAATGCAATAGATTCATGTTATGTTATAATAAAACATCATATTTGAAGCAAACTTGCTGAGCAATTTTGTCAAGAAACTGTTATCATTATTAAATAAGGAAGTACTGTTTGGCAATATTTACCCGAGACTCAATAATTTTCGGGATCTGTTTCGTTAGCTTACATAACTTATTATGATTAATGTTTAATCGTGTGTTTTATTTATAGCACTTTTTTATTTCATAATTTTGATAAATGGTCAAGTTTTGCAAAATACAAAAAGTATTATAAAAGAAAACATAAAAAAATCACTTTATCGAACCTACAGTCTTCAATTTGAAACTAACTTAGAATCTAACACCTTGTCATCGAGGCTTGTAAAGCAAGTGATATGATTATAATTCTACTTGTAATTCTACTTTATACATATACCGTTGTACCATACTGAATCCCATAATTACCGACAAATTATTACCGATCATCGAATATTTGCAAAGTGACTATGAAAATATATATGCTTAATTATTGCATAAAACAATGCAATTCTACTATAAAAGTGGTGTCTGCATAAAAAAAATATTCTTATGCACTATCGAAAAAATATATTATTTAGCTGATCGTATGTAGTTAACGTTTAATTGCCTTCCAGTGCGATAAACTATCAACACAAAGATAGTTTATTAGTTTTCTCTGTGTATCCAATACGATTCCGGCCCCTCCTGTCATACACAAAATTCTTCTTCTTCTTCCAATACTGTACATAACCCAATCTGGGGCATTGACGTACAGGGTTACTTTGATTTGCACTTTTATCAGCTGCAAACCATTCACAGGTTACCTGTAGCCATTCGTTACTATTAATAGATTTTATAACGGTAACATACAACGTGTAGTCACGTGATTCTGGGAGAAGCTGTTTATGATAAATAAGATAAAAAAAGAATAGAATAGGTCTCATAACGTAAAAACAACCAGATAATTTAAAAAGTGTCATTTCAAATATCATGCATGATTTGTTTATCATAAAATAGCAACACCTGACACTTTGAAAAAAAGGAAAAACATCCATAAATTCAATGACTTATCCATAGGGATACGTCATTAATTCAATTTATAAAAATTGTAATGTTGCTTTTTACGATGTCAATATTTGAATATTTCATTTCATTGAGCAAGATTATTGTATGTTTGAATTTTTGAGATTACTGAAAACAATTGTAGTCTTTAATTGTTCAGTAATTGTTGTGCTTTTATTTCCAGATTTTAATGCCTGCTCCTACCATAGGTATAATATTAAACTGTTACAAATATAGTCGCCGGTTTCTACCGGCGACTAATAAAAGCAATTATTGGGCATATTGGTTGATCAATTTTATATAGATTAAAAGGGCATTATATATGAGATTATTTCATGCACTGTTTTGTTTTGTTTATTTTTTTTATAACAAAATCATGAATTCTTAGAATTTAAAATGGCAAGCACACTTATAATCTTGTCCCTATGTGACTGCCCTATATTCTATAGTATATTCAAATTTAAAAAGCATTCTTATTTTAATGTTGCTTTTAGATGATGTCCTCAAATCATATTTAAAATTCATAATACAGTAAATGTATTATAATACAAGCTGTATGAAAAATCTTTATATAATATAAACTTAAGCATTTTGGAGGTGAATGTTTTCAAATTCTACACTAAGATTATTACAGTTGTTTTTCAGTACAAAAAATATAAATTAGTCTGACAATATATTATTAATGCCACATTTTTTATCTAAAAAGAAGGCCTATTTTAATGTCTAAAAAAATAATATATTAATTCTAAAAATACACCTGTAATTATTGGTTCAGCAAAAAAAATAAGTACAGTAGGTAAAATTTCAATGTCTGCAAGTGCAAAAACAGGAGTACAATTATGATTTGGACATCTTATATGTGAAATTCTGTTCAAGAAAAATGTTTAAGTATAGAATTCCGCCCGTAGTGAAGACTATTCCTACCCAAAAAAAATTTCAAAGTTGAAAATTCTGTCCAGGATGAAATGTTTAAGTATAAATTCTGCTCAAAATAAAATTCCAGCCGGAATTTTTCTAGTTTTCCGCCCAGAAAAGTGAACAAAATATTTTTCTTGTGAGACAGAATGGCACGGATTTTGCTTTTCCGTCCCTTGTCCGCCCAGAAATCACTGATTCCGTGCCAATTCCGTGCCAATTCCGCCCAGAATCCGTGCCAAAATTTCGTACAGGTTAAAATTTTTCCTACCTGGTTAGCAATAGTTCCATGTCCACTCAAATATGAAGTTTTTGAGTCATGAAATTAACTTACATTTAAATGAAAAAGTTGCAACAACACCAAAATTATTGAAGTATTTTTCTAAAGGATCTGTAGCAATCTAAAGAAGAATAAAAACCACTGTATTTTCCATGTCCTAATGTGACGGCATGTAAACACTTTCAGTTTTGCAAACTGTACAGATTCTTGATATGTATGATATGTATAAGTAAAACTACAATGATGAACTAATTTTATTACATATCTCAATGGTTTTCAAGACATGCACAAAAAAGTGCTTATATTTTTTAACAGGTTCTTAGAAAGTTCTAAACTGTTACTTACATGGAATCCTTTCACTCTATCAGTTTGGTAGTACTGTTGTGTTTTAGCCTTGTCTATGGCTTCTTTACGTTGTTGTGCCTGAAATTTAGCTTCCTCCAAATCAATCTGTACTTTCTCTGCCTCTTCCTTTGCCTCACGCAATTTTCTGGCTTCGAGTTTACGCTGCCTTTGACCCTTTAATATTAAAAAGAATCCAATGTAAAAAAGAGCATATTTTTTGTTAAAAAAATGAACATTAATCTGAATGTCATAGAATTAAATGAATACAGACAGTATAAGCTCTACATAACAACACCCTTTGGAAAACAACGATTTTGGCTGTTGCTGCAAAATTTTGCTCTTCAGAGAATAAATATATAGTAAACTCTTACTTTGGAAGAACTGATACTGTTTGTGTCAAGAAATAATTCTGCAGTTCTGCAGAACATGTACATTATACTGCTTCAAAATCGTTATCGATTTATCATTACACTAAGCAGAATTTACAACTGTGTATTTAGAGAATTATCCCTGGTTCCAAACAAACTTAAAGAATTAAATTCTAAAGATACTATTTATGTTAAAACCTACAGCTATAGTATTCCCCCAGTGTTGGACAACTTCCTTTGACTTGTTCTTTCTTTCCTCTCTCTCTTCTCGAATTTTTCTCAGTCTCTCTTCTTCAATTTGTTTCCTGTGCAGCTGTGTTTGGATGCGGTCCCAGTCAGATTTGGACAGTATAGTAACTTGTCGTAAATCATGACTGTCGGGATATTGAGGTCCTCCTTCATGCTGTGGTGGTGCTTCAGGGGTGCCTGAAAAAAGTAACAAATCATTGTTATAATAATTGTCAATTTATAAAACTATGACATTGCTTTATATTGTAATTAAAAAAGTACACGTGTAATTAAAATGTCTTTAGGGCTCCCCTATCTGTCATACAATGTATCTAGCCACAGTCTCAAAATATTCTGAAACAATAATGGTAGCTACCCTGTAAATCTATCCCTGCTTTTATGTTTTATAACTGTGCATACTGTACTTTTACTCTGTTTTTTTCGTCCTTCTGTAACATATTTTACTTCTAATAAACTGCTCCCCATCTGTCTCCTAATAATGTCAAACCTCTCATGGTGATTTAAACATCCTGTCATATTTGGAAATCAATTGTTGGACTGACTGATTTAAAAATATGGGGCCTATTGAGCCCCACTTTTCCTACAACACCCCTCCATTAATGTTCGAAAATGGACAGCATTTTTCAATTTCTGACATGCGTAATCATTGCGTACCAGTAAAGTTCATTTTATTCTATTTGTCTGACTTACATTGGTAAGTTAGGCATTTCATGTAGTCATTATTATTATAGCTCTAATCAGTAATACTCATCAGCTCATTACTTGATGACTTTGTGTACTTTAATTTTATTGAAAGTTCGTTGAAAATCATTGCACTGTATCATTTCGATTTATTATTATAAACAACAATGAAAAGTTTGTTTAAGGATGCTGATAGCAAAATAACGAGACAATGATCAAACTGGATTAGGTGACACTGGGAGTTTCGGTAGTGAACAATAATGACAAATTGGTGGACAGAAAAGTGTGATAAAAATGATTGTGCGTTTAAAAACTGTTAAGTTACCTCGCATTTGACCCCTTCTTCGACCATGCATCACTGTCGCCATTGTCTGGCTCAATATTATTTGTGAAATAGGAAGGACAACAGGCACAATCTCACAGGAAATAGTATATCTGTTGTCAAGCAAAACAACACAAGTAGCTAACTGTACGTCATTTCCGGTTATCGTGAAATTTACGAGTTGTGCAAATAACTACTAAGTATTGTATTATAAACATATTTAACGCCTCATGGTATGAATATGTATTTCATATTTAATAAAAACCCAAGCATTTGATAGTAAATTAATGTAGCCCGTTCAACAATAAGATAAGAATGATAAAATCTCTGGAAATTTTACCCAACCGAAAATATACCAATGCACCGTTTCCTGTGTCCTTGACCTTTTTATAAACATTTCCAATTAAGTTGTGAGCTGATAGATAAATTTACGTTGCCAGAAAGTAATTAAAGCATTCATATGAATGCATTATACAATAATTCCACGATTTTTCCTAATTTTAATTTGAATTTGTAATGTCTCCCTCTGTCAATCACTAGCTAAAAGAATTTAAACTATAATATGAAATTAGGCAAAGCCTATGAACGGGGAAGTCAGTAAAAAATCTTTTCATTTTTCCGTTTTAAAGGTGTCATTCGGTATTATATGTACTCACTTCCGTTTTCACTCGGAACACTCGACGATAATTATTAATCCGAAAAGTTGAGATATGTTACGTTATCGGAATACACCGCCTTTTATCATTGAGTTACATTGTAAATGGCGGCGCCTATTTAGAACTGACACTGAAAATTTCATTGATAGGTATAGAACTCTATATATTTTTTAATTGTTTTTTATTTGAATTTTCTTTTAAATATACACGTGTAGTCTATAGCCGGGCAAGCCAAAGCCCGGGCCCGCTTCGCGGGCCCGGACTTTGACTTCCCCGTATGACCAAAATAATTTTTTTACAGATCCAGATTATAGTATTAGAGCTCCAGACTGTTCACTGTATTTTGACCCTTAAACTGATTACCCGATACCAGACATTCCAATTTTTTTTTTTTTGCTTGTTGATCATTTTTAGGGGTTACTTATGTCACACCGACATAAGTAACCCCTTAGGCTTGTTTTTAGAGTTATTGCCCTTTGTTAATTTTCATACAATAGTTTTTGTTCGGGCCATTTCTCCTAAACTATAAAAGCTATGGACTTGAAATTTCAAAGGATAATATATCTCATTGGGAAATGCAGTGCACAAGAACCCGGTACGCTGTACTCAATAATTGTTTAGTTAGAGCGGGATCGGGCATTTCCGAACACTTAAGGTTCGCGGCTATAATAAGGAGCAGATGTCTAATTCCGAACTAATAATATCATGCAACATTGTCTGACCTTTAACCTTTCAAACAAGACAGATGGCATTTGCTCATGATATACAGTAAGAAGGAAAATCGTGCCAGAAAACCTCTTGTGACTGTGTGCATTCTGAACAGCGCGGGTCACCCAAACACAAACGGTGTCTATTTCCGAACATGACAGGCTTTTTAAAAATTACTCGTTTATTTAATTTCTTTTAATCTAAACAATTCAAGATAATTCATTCAATATCTCAAAACATATAACAACAATATTTGATTGTCTTCAACACACTCGGAGTATGAATGTGACCAGGGTCTTTCAAATAGAATGGTCTGGAGACGGACCAATTTTTACAAAAAAAGCTGTCTCAGTTGAGTCACATAATTGGGTTATCTACAGACCGTGATCTGGCATAGCACATCACCATTCAAAAATCAAATTATAATTTAATTATAAAGATAATGTTTTGTTAAATCAATAACACAATTACTAAAAACTAACTTTTACTACATTATATTATCAGTTTTTACTTTAAAAGTAACAATTTTATAGATTTACAATGTAATTAGGAATTTTTCATTCCCGGTGTCAAGGTAAAAATCTACTGCTCATATTTGAAAATAGGTCCGAGTTTCATGAGATTTTTTTTAATTTATGCATTGTTCAATGACAAAATAGAAATTGATTTTACAGAGAAAAGATGTTATTTAATTGTATCATGTAAAAATATTATAATATTTCATGATGTTATTTGGTTAAAATACACCAAAACAACACATATTTTTTTAAATCTTTACTAGTTTCGACTGTTGTCTTCATTAGAATAACGTACAAAGTATTTGACGTCACGTCCCTTAGGACGCCAACGTCAACGTGACAAAATTGCGCAAAAAAGTGAATGTAAAGTAATTAACAAATAGATATGGATCAAAAAGATACAGCAGGTATTGATAATAGAACTATATTTCTACAATATAAAGCAGATGATGTTATTTGCAAATATTTAATGTTTAATTTGGTGCATTTTCAAAATGGCGACGTTTATCGGCAAATATTCTGAACAAGCAATCTATGCTTTTTACAAGCGAGTCAGGCTGCACATTTACTTGAACTCCAGCAGGTGAAGCTTTTGGTGTATTAAGTTTTGAGCTGTAGATTGTCAATGGCTCCATTTTTGCTGTTTTCAGAACAATGTATCTATTTAAAGGGAAAAGGCCAGCATACTTAAATGCCAATATTGCGTTCTCAGTGGTGGCTGACCATTCCCAGGCGCCCTTAAATACTTGAGCAAAAGTCCTCTTCGTAACTGTATTAGGGATATTCTCAATTTGAAAATCTCTCACAGCCTGACTCCAGTTTTCTTTTAATACCCCGAAAACCCGAAGATCAAGCGGCTGTATCAAGTGTGAAGCGTGCTGAAGTAGACAAAATATGTGAATGCCATTTGCCTTACAAACATCCGACACATCTAAAGACACATGTGTTGAGTGGCCGTCAACCAATAGTAAGATCGGACGTTTGACTTGACACTTGTCTAAGTCAGGTATAAACACGTCTGTTATCCAGGTAAAAAATAATTCAGACTCCATCCACCCATTCGGAGAACGACCTATTGCAGCCTCCTGAGACCCTTCAAGAATATCAGCCCTCACACGCTCGCCGGGATATACAATCATTGGCTTAATGTAGTGTCCAATAGCACTAACACAGGCCAACACAATAATTTGAGTTTTATTACTACTTGTACAGTTATAAACATTTTTTTACCCCTTTCATGGCAATGATTCATCCACTTTTAGGAAAAAATGGAAACCCGCACTCGTCAGCATTATACAAACGAGACACATCAGACAACAGACATGAGTCATTCAACTCATTGTTTACAAAGATACAACCACGTGGCATGATCTATTTGAGATTTTTGATGGCGTTATCACTGCTTTTTGTTTTCTGAGCTGCATGGGTGCTCTTTCTGTCAGCTAAGGATGACGCTTGATGAAGCCCCTGTACCAATCTTTGCCTGGTCGATTGTCTTTAAAGGGCGTCTTATGACCATCATTATCAAGGATCTTCTTTACCGTGGTCAACAGTTCCTGCCTGGTCCTTCCATAGCCTATCCTGGACATGCTGACTGCCCATTCTGCCAGGCGGGTCTCCTCAGCCAGAGAGAGGACTGTGTGGGGACCTGTTTTGTTTGTTGCGTATCTTCCCTAAAACAAGTAGGAGTGTGTTATGAACAAGGCTGATAAACAATAGTGCACTGAGAACCATTTCATCAATGATAAAATTAATCTATTACTGTCATTTATATAACAATAATGATTAAACGACATTTAAATGGCATTTGAACAAATCAGATTACTAGCTAGAATTAGGAATTATATAAACTGGCCTGCTTTGTTCGCAAACTACAATGACCAGATGAAATGTACTTATTGATTCATAAAATTGTTCTAAATACCTTGATTTTATCATGCAGAGTCGTTTTCGGTATCCCGTACGACTTGGCCGCACAACTTAACGTTAGACTCCCACTCTGCACAAGCTTGGCAGCCTCGGCCAGCACATCTGGGGTATACAACTTTGCACCGATAGAACGGCTCATGTTACCTGTGAGATATGAATTAATTAATTAATTAACTTTTCATTCATTAACCAAGTTGTTCGATTGTTTGTTTAATTTATTTATTTATTTAGATCTATTTATTTATTTATAATTTACTAAAACTATTAAATACAAATTAGTCCTCTAGCTTTTTAATTGATGTTTGTGTTTTCTTATAATTTGTTCGGAATTAGACGCTCGGTTAAAAAGTGAGAGGGTATTTCCGAACAACCACGTGGCATGATCTACGTCTGTCCACTCTAGAACATACTAATTTAGATGGGTGGGGAAGGGATACATCTACATACTTTCATACATGTTTACATTTAGACACAAAATACGTAACTTGCATCGCTTATCTTAGTCAGCAGTCTCCTTAGCATGTACGGCTAAATATATGACAAAATTTATAGGACTTACCTTGATGATATCTTTTGCTTTTAAAGATGACAGGACAACCTTGGAATTGTAAACAACCGGAAGTAAATAATTATGTTCAAATATTTTGCGCAAAAATTTTTTTAAAAAACACAACCTTACCGTTATTCTTACGACCGCATATATATTGTTCAGAAATAGACATCGTTCGGCAAATGGAGACCTCGCTCTATTCAGTCTATTGCCCTTTTTTTAATTTTCTTACTTTACTTTTGTCCAGCCATTTCACCTAAACTATAAAAGTTATTGGCAGTAAGACTTGAAACTTTATAAGATGATTTATCACTAAATCTAATTGAGAAGTAAAGTGCACAAGAACCAGTACTCTGTAGATCATGATTTTAGAGTTATTGCCCTTTGTTAATTATAATACTTTATTTTTGTCCCGGCCAATTCTCCTACACTTTAAAAGCTATTGACTTGAAAGATCTCATTGAGAAAAGAACTTTTACCCTGCACTTCATGATTTTTGAGTTATTGCCCTTTGTTAATTTTCTTACGTAATAGGCACTCAGTTTAAATGCCACCTAAGTTAAAGGTACATGTACATTGTGAGAGCAGTGTTTATAAATAACCTATATTTAAGAAGAAAATGCATAAGTGACAGCTATACTGTTCATAAGGCGACACATCCGACTCGCGGAGTTCTAATACTAATCTATGCCTTAAATATAACAAAGGTGTCAGTATCATATTAATATAATTATTATCAGGTCCATAGCCTAGGATATTCACCGAAATCTTCATACTGTAACTGTTTTATTATATGAATAGAATTGAATACTAATTTCTTCATTTAATGGATCTAATAAAAAAAATTCATGTAAACAAGCCCTTAATAAGTGGACCACAGATGACAGAATTAAGTTTTCTCTGTGTTTTTTTGGCATTTGAATCAAGAATTTATTGCTTTGATGCTTCCATAATAAACACCAGATATGTAACATTTATGTAACATTTCAAAATGGTCAATAAGTACCCTAAATCCATGCTAATTCCACATCTTTTACATATGCCTCAATTAGCTTTTTAGTGGCTCAGAATTTTGTTGATAACTGACATTATTGAAATTTATAACTTTCCAAATCCCATATTTCTAGCATAAATTTTGACTGAAATATACTCCTTTTAGAAATAGGTAAAATTCCAGCATAGCCCATATTTTGTGATCAATTACTAAGTTTACTGTCTTTCTCGCAGCTCTTGTTGACAGATTTCTTTATAATAAAAGAAAATACTTTAAGGGTTAATTGAAGTATTTTTGAACAGAAAAAAACTACTTTAGTAATAGCCTTGCTATTTTCTAATTGTTTTATAAAGTGATAAAAATTGTGGTCTTTAACATTTCAGGTTGAAGTAACTATAAGATTTACCTTGAATTGACATGAAGATTTTATGTAATCAATGTATGATCCTTTACTCTAATTTATTTTTCAGATAAACATCATGTCTCTGGAGAAAACAAGGAAGATTTTGGTAGCCTTAGATTTTGACCATACTGTGATAGACGGCAACAGTGATATTCACATTACACACTTGTGTCCATCAGGCGAAGTTCCTGATGACATTAAAGAGAAGTTTAGCGAGACTGGATGGACTCACTACATGGGAGCAATATTTGAATATCTTTATTCTCACGGGCTGTATGAAAAAGATTTGAAGCAGTCTATAAATGAGATACCACTGACAGAGGGAATGGCGGAGCTCTTCAAATTCCTTGAACATGAATTGTTTGAGGTTATAATAATATCAGATTCAAATTCTATGTTTATTGATTATGCCATTGAAAAGAACAATCTTGGGAATGTTATAGATAAAGTTTATACTAATCCGGCAGAGTATGACCACACTGGTAAACTTACAATAAAGTTTTACCACACACAGGACTGGTGCAAACTTAGCACAGAGAACCTGTGTAAAGGTCATATACTGGAAGAACATGTTAAAAATGCTCAAGATAATGTTGAATTTAGTCATATACTATATGTAGGAGATGGGAGCAATGATTTGTGTCCTTCTTTAAGATTGGCGGAGAAAGATTTTGTGTTTCCAAGAAAACAGTACTCGCTATGGAAGAAGTTAAAAAAACTTGGTTGCCTTGACAATGAAGAAACTGACCTTGAACTTAAGGCCAAGATTGTGGAATGGTCTTCAGGAATAGAGGTTTTGGATGTTTGTAAACAATTAGAAAGAGAAAGATTTCAGCCTAAAGAGTCAAAATAATTTTGGAGTACAAATACTTTATTGATACGCATTATTTTCAATCTTTCCATGAACTTAAACAGGCTTTGCTCCATAGGAAATATTTGTTTTGAAAAGTCTCAAATTTTTTGTTTCTTGAAATTGTTTGCTATGATGTTAATTCATTTTGTTAGGCCAGTATTGTTACAAAATTTTTACAGGGCGATATTTTTTCTTGAGTATTCTGCTCTAATGGACATGGATCAGTTGTGGTAGTCATTTTGTTCTTCATTGTTGATCTCAAATTTACTGCCATACCATACATCAAACCTTGTCATAATGTTTTGCAGATATCAGAAAGTAGGGTTATTTAACATAATTATGAGTATAAGTAAAGGCCATGAAGTGAGAACTTTATAATTTAAACTACAAAGTGACTGACCTTAATGTCTTAATTGTGAAGAATTTAACTTGAAGCCTCTGCCATATAGGTCTGTTTGTAGGACCTGAATGTTCCCTGAAATCTTGATTTAAAAAAAAAAACAAACATGGTACCTGAATTGAAAGAATAATGTGTGTAAATTTCTGATAAAACAGGTTGCGCATGAGGGAAATCATCATTAAACATTCTTACAGCAATTGAATATTTCATAATGAAATGTTTTATTCTTTTTTTTTCATATATGATTAGTAGGCATTGAATAATAGAGACACGTTATGCTAAAACTCACCAGCTATGACCATAAGAATATGAAAACTACATGATTGTATAGTTTTTAGCTCGACTATTCGATAAGAATAAGTAGAGCTATTGCAGTCACCCGAGCGTCGGCGTCGGCGTAACCACTTATGTTAAAGTTTTTGTAATAGTTCAAATATTTTCAAAGTCCATTGACATATGGCTTTGAAACTTTGCACACTTGTTCACCATCATGACCCCATCCTGTAGACAGGAGGAGGTAACTCTATCAAGCATTTTGACAGAATTATGCCCCTTTTTCGACTTAGAATTTTACGTTAAAGTTTTTGTAATAGTTCAAATATTTTCAAAGTCCATTGACATATGGCTTTGAAACATTGCACACTTGTTCACCATCATGCCCCCAACCTGTAGACAGGAGGAGGTAACTATATTAAGCATTTTGACAGAATTATGCCCCTTTTTCGACTTAGAATTTACGTTAAAGTTTTTGTAATAGTTCAAATATTTTCAAAGTCCATTGACATATGGCTTTGAAACTTTGCACACTTGTTCACCATCATGACCCCATCCTGTAGACAGGAGGAGGTAACTCTATCAAGCATTTTGACAGAATTATGCCCCTTTTTCGACTTAGAATTTACGTTAAAGTTTTTGTAATAGTTCAAATATTTTCAAAGTCCATTGACATATGGCTTTGAAACTTTGCACACTTGTTCACCATCATGACCCCAACCTGTAGACAGGAGGAGGTAACTCTATCAAGCATTTTGACAGAATTATGCCCCTTTTTTGACTTAGAATTTACGTTAAAGTTTTTGTAATAGTTCAAATATTTTCAAAGTCCATTGACATATGGCTTTGAAACTTTGCACACTTGTTCACCATCATGACCCCAACCTGTAGACAGGAGGAGGTAACTATATTAAGCATTTTGACAGAATTATGCCCCTTTTTCGACTTAGAATTTACGTTAAAGTTTTTGTAATAGTTCAAATATTTTCAAAGTCCATTGACATATGGCTTTGAAACTTTGCACACTTGTTCACCATCATGACCCCAACCTGTAGACAGGAGGAGGTAACTCTATCAAGCATTTTGACAGAATTATGCCCCTTTTTCGACTTAGAATTTACGTTAAAGTTTTTTGTAATAGTTCAAATATTTTCAAAGTCCATTGACATATGGCTTTGAAACTTTGTAAACAGGAGGAGGTAACTGTATCAGGCATTTTTTTTACTATCAAGCACTAAGAATAGTCGAGCGTTGCTGTCCTACTGACAGCTCTTGTTGATAATTTATAGTTTACTTTTTATCACCATTATGCCTCAGAAATGTTTTTATTTTTATTTATCAAAAGATTTTTTATTTTGGTGCACTTTATAGTATCCAAAAAAGTTACTCGTTGGCCAGTTACCTGAACCTTCTTTTTCATCTCCTGCGTTTTGGCAATAAGTATCGTTACAGTGAGTTAGTATTTTGTATGGAAGTCAAAATACTACTTTGCTTACATTTTGCTACTTTTATGAAAAATTATTTCACATTTAGTGCTGCTGTCTTCAGGTAAACAAGCATATAACATTCTCTAAAACCATTATTTAAACATTATTAAATTCATGTTTGCCCTTTAGAAAGATGTAAAAAAAATTGTTTCTGAGGCATAATGTGCATTTAAAGTTGTCCACTGTTTATGTAATCCAAACAAACAAAAATGTGATGTCATAGTATGGTTATTCTATTGCACTGATATAATTCATATATTTTAATAAAATTTTTTTATTTTAAATACCTTTTTCTTTAAAAATGTGTATTTCTTTTTCATAAAATTTTAAAGGCCAAAAATTTTAATTTGTGAATTATTTCGGAAAAAACGAAGGCCCAAAACAAGCTGTTTTTTTAGTTAGGTTAGATAAAAATTTTTTTAAATTTACACACCCTTCCTTTTAATTTTTTCAAAATTTTTTTTTAAAAAACAAAACACATAAGGGTTAAAAATACTGTAATTTTGGGGAAAAATCCTACTATATGTAGTCATAGTATAAAAACAATGAAAAAAAACAAAGTTTTGGTCAGGGCCATTAACAGTCCATATAATCTAATGATTTAGTCGCAGGGGGCAAACCTTCAGGGAAATTTTTTCTTGAGCAAAAATTTTACCTTTTTTGCTCAGTCTGGTTTTCAAAAGGGATTCAAAAGTGTTCTAAAGCTTATACTTCCTAGCATAACAAAAAAAATTCTATATAAAAAAAACAACTTACCTAAAAAGTTTTTTTTTAATTTTTTCTGTTTGGGGGTTTTTTTCTTTTTTTTAAAAATAGCATGGGAATTTAATATGTGGGTGGCATTTTACTAGGGGGGGTTTTTAATAATAATAATCCCAGCATTTTTATATTCAAGCAGAAACTGCTTCTTAAAAGTCTTTTATTTGTTTTTACCAAATTTAAATAATCTACTAATTAAAAAAAATACTTTCAAATTTTCATAACACCATTTTAAAAACCTTTTTTACAACAATTAACAAAAAAAAATCACAAATTTTTTACTGATGACAGTAGAAAAAATTTTTTTTCAGTTTTTAAAATGAAATGTTACTTTTTTTGGCGCCTCATAAGAAAATGCACTTAGGATCATTTCCCCGTCGTCTGTCGCTTCCACCCCTCACAAAATTTTCCGGGACTACCCTCTAAACTATTCAATTTCTCCAAATTTTCCCAGAAGATCTCCCAAAGTCTATTTGTGCAACGGGCTTTTTCGGGTTTCAATGTTTTTTTCATTTTGGGCCCCTTTTTAAAATTTTTTTTTTAAATTTGGGGACTATTCTTTAAACCCATAGCAATTTAAATAAAATTTTACAGTTTATCTTACTCAAACCTGCCATTTCGGGGTTTCCTTTGAATTTTTTTCCGGGGTTACCCTTTTAAAAAAGGTTTTTTTTCTGTTTCCAAACACAAAACTTTCCCATACCCCTAAATACGGGGCAATTTTATCCAACTTTACAGGAATGATCAGCCCCAATCTAGTTGGCACTGTCAGTCTTTTGTCCGCTTCACAAAATTTGTCCAACATAAATTGGGCCTTTCAGGGGGCAAACAATTGTTATGTATTAAAAGAAATTTGAAAATTTTTTTTTGGAGAAAAAAATTTTTTACATAATATAAATTTTTTTCTTAAACAAATTTTATATTGGTTATATTTTGTGATATTTAACCAGATAGGGCAACTTGTTACAATTTTTGATCAGGAATTTATGTATGTAGCACTTGTAAAATATAGCTTGCTTGACTTTATTTTAGTGAAAATAGACTTAAAGAAAATTTAGATATTTGTAATTATAAATCTATTTAACTATTGTAAATATAGTGTTGCAATTTTCCCCCTCTTGTTTCCCCGGGGTTTTTTTTTAAAAATTTTTGTTCTTTTTGGGGATATTTCTTTTTACGGTTTGAAAAAGGTTTCCTGGATTCAACCAAAAAAATTATTAAATTAAAATTTAATTTCATGTTTAAAATTTTAAAAAAAATTTGGGGGAAAAAATTTTTTTTTTTTTTTTTTCCCTTTTTTTTTGGGGTTTTTTTTTTTCCCGGGGTTTTTTTTTTTTATTTAGTTTCTTTTTTTTTTTTTTTTTGTTGTAAAAATTTTTTTTTTTTTTTTGTTATTTGTTTTAAAAATTTTTTTGTTATTTATCCAAAACAAAAAAACAAAAAATCAAAATTTAAAAGATAAAAAAAAATTTAAAAAATAAATAAAACCAATTAAAAGAGGGGAAAAAAAAAATTGAAACAAAAATTTTGTTTTTTTTTTCCTTTTTTTTTGGGGTTTTTTTTTTCCTTTTTTTTTTATTTTTTTTGTTTCATTTTGTGGGGTTGTTTTTTTTTTTTTTTTTTTTCCTTTTTTTTTTTTTTTTGGGGTTTTTTTAAAAATTTTGTTTTTTTTTTTCCTGTTCTTTTTTGTTTTTGGGGGTTTTTTGTTTTAATTGGGGTGGTTTTTTTTTTTTTTTTTTTTTTTTTTTGGGGTTTTTTTTCTTAAAAGCCTCTTTTTTGATTGCCCGGGGCCCTTTTTTTGTTTTTGTTTTTTGGTTTTTTTTTTTTTTTGGGGGGGGGGTGATTTTTGGTTGTTTTTTTTTTGTTTTGTTGTTTTTTTCTTTTTTTTTTTTTAAATTTTACAAAATTAAATTTTTATTTGCTTTTTCAACTTTTTTCAAATTTTAAAATAAAAAGAAACTTGACCGCAAAAATTTTCTTTCCCTTTTAAAAAAAAATTTAAAAAAATTTTAAATTTTTTAAAAATTAAATTTTTGGGTTTTTATAAGCATTCCCAAATTTTTTTAAAATTTTAAAAAAAGTATTTTAGTAATTTAAATTAAAAATTTTTTTAAAAATTTTTTTTAAAAAAAAAAAAAAATTATATTTTTTAAAATAAAAAAAAAATTTACAAATTTGGTTTTTTAAAAAAAATTAAAAAATTGACTTTTTAATTTATTTTTTATTTTAAAATTTTTTTTAAAATTTTAAAAGTTAGTATACAAATTAATTTTTAAAAAAAATATTTTAAAAAAACGGAAATTCTGTTTAATTTAAATTAATTACCAAACCTTTAAAATTTTTTTTTAAAAAAAAAAAAAAAAAAAAAAAAAAAAAAAAAAAAATTTGTTTTTCCAAAATTTTTTAAAAAGTTTTTTTTTAAAATCGGTAAAAAAATTAAAATTTTTTTAAAATTATTTTGAAAAAAAGGGGTTTTTTTTTTATTTTTACTTTTTATTTTTTTTAAACTAAGCAAAAAATTAATTTATTTTTTAAAAATTTTTTTTTTTTTGGGGGGGGGGGGTTTTCCCCGTGTTTTAAAATTTTTTTTTTTATCTATACAACTTAAATTTAATAAGAGATAAGATAAGATTTCTTTGCAACAAATTAATGACTTTTTTATTTGAAATGAAAGTTATCATATTTTAACTTTAGCATGTTTATTCAAGTTTGAAAACTTAGTAAACCAGTTTATAATATCAAGTAAGAAGTAAACTGACGTTTTGATTCTGATTATTTGAATGTAATATATTGTTCTTCATTCTTTATTTTTGATAAGAAAGTTTATTATTAAATATTATTCAAATTTATTAGGCATATATGAAGTGAAAACAACAATATACAAAGGTGAAAAATCTGAAGAAAGAAAGTAATGTTTCGTAATCCAGGGGAAGCAAGTTTGATTGCTCCACCCCTTCCTTGCCTCCACTCACAATCTATGAGAATTATAATAAAAGTTTGTATTTCTTGTGTTCTGAGATGTGGATACAGGATAAAAGCATATTTACAGTTTACTTCTAATGTAAAAAAGAAAAAAAAGTACCAAACACCCCACACTGAAAATTGCAACATGACCAAAAGCCTCAAGAAATGCTGTCAGGCTTGCAATAACATAGATATGTGTATTATAAATATGTTCATTACAAATACTGCATTTATACTATACACAGAACACATTTGCTTACATTCGAACATTAAGGATACAGAAACTTTACAAAGACCTCCATAAAAAATTGTTTTAATCTAATACAGAAATTTAAAATGGAACAAACTATGTACTAGTTATATTACAATGAAACAAGCACTGTTGTAATTTGATAAACCCTGTATTGCATGTTATGTCAAGGCATAATATAAAATTATGAACTTTATGTATATTACCATCAACACTCTTGTCTAGAATTGACTATTGATTTGTTTTTGTTTGTTTTGTTGATTTTTTTAAACTTATGCGTTTGAACTTCAATTTATTATATTTCTTATTTTATAACATAGTTTTCTTTATTATGGTTATCATAACAATATTCTTTAAAAAATGAGGAGTGATTTGAAGTCCTTTTTTTATTTCAAAGATTCTGGTTTTGTTCAACAGTTTATTTTGACAGGCAGGAACATATGGATTGTGAATATATTAATTTAAAGTAATACATTTTGCCCTTATCAATAATGTACATAGGGGACACCTTTAACTGCAAATTACAGAAGTCAGTTGTTTATTGTCAACACCTTCAACCTTTCACACCAGGTGACATCTCTACTACTGTATAGGTGGGGGCGGGCAGTAAAATTAGCATACTAATTACTGTGGATTAAAGAATTGTTGTGACAATTAACCAATCAGCCAATCAAAATAGACATGTCTTTTGATTAATTTACATAAACCCGCCCAAAGAAGGCTGTAACCAATCAGTGATAATCGGTTTATTTGCATAAACTCCAATTACCATAACGTGGCCAATCAATAATAATTACTCAAATTTAATGTGAATTTTTAATTGTTTTGTAAATAAACACTCAATTTTCAACACCTATAAATAATAGAAAAATTAAAGTTTGCAATCATTCAATCAAATTCTGTTGTGGATAATTTATCATAGTGCTTTTTATTACTATATCTTGCTGCTGGATTTACACTTGGAATATTCCGACTTGAGTTAGAACTCTTATGTAATAAGTGAACTTTATAATATTTATTACCTGTGTTAGAATAAGTGACAGTATGGCAGCAGTGTCCAGGCACTCCCAGAAGAAGGGGACATTTATGAAAGGTAGGTCCACTAGTAATATCTTGATCTTGATTTTTTACTCTATTATTATTGGGATATAAAACAAATGGACAAGCAACTTTTGACTAATAAGCAACTTAAGTAGGCGTCTAATTACAGCCAATAAGTGTTAAAATTTAAACATTTAATAAAATTAGCATTTTGATATAAAAAAACGACTGTAAATTTGATAAATAGAATTTTATTTCCATGTACGTAAATGAAATTTTACTGAACTGACTATTATAAAAATTGAATTTGTCAAATAATCATTTTATCTTGTTAAGGTCTTGTTAAAATATGCTGCCTGTTGATTTACGTTGTTTAATTCAGTTGAAGTTTCAATAACATCGTAGCATACTGATAAACCAAAAAATTATTTATATAGCACTGTCAGTTGCTTTTCCTATTGAATAATGTCCCCAAGTTTCACTTAAAATATTTGTTTGCTTTTCCTCTGTTATATTTCATAGGGATTTATGTAAAACATTTTTTATCACATACCCATGTCATTTTCATTTATGAAAATAGTTTTGCATCACCAAACATATTTTGAGGTACCAAGACACTCCTCATCTGTTATTTTTTTGTCTGTAAATCTTACTTTTTGTCTGTGACATCATTTGCATTAAATTTAACATAAATGTAAGCGTAACACAAATAACTAATTATTATACATTTTAATCAAGAAATTATTCATTTTACCATCACAAAACAGTAATTGTGTTAAATAGAATTATATTTTTATGCAACTTCATGGAAGAAATTGTTGAATAAAACATTATTGTTTTTTTTGACAGGTTTATATGACTGTATATAAACGTTTGTAAATTACTAGAGTTATATTGCATATTAAGAATCTTTATATAATAAATTTTTGATACTGCAAACTTTCTTTAGAATAGAAAAATTGAAAATATTTTATAAATCTGTAGTCGTGAAATATTATATTAACGTCACTATCTTCAAATGAAAAACGTAACTGACATGCAGTATTTGCCAAGTGAATAAGTTCAATAAATTCAGTATTATATATCAACCTTGGACTTTTTTCAAAAACGGACCTTGGTAAGGAATACTATTTCTCAACATTTGATGTTTGATTTACATAACCTTTCTACTGTAAATAACCAACTTGAACTGACAACAACTGAAAAATTGATAAATGCAAATAAGAATAACATTATGGTATGCTAATGGTGTATCACCACAGACCTATAATTTCAGTCAAATATATATGAGCCGCGTCACGACAAAACCAACATAGTTGGTTTGCGACCAGCATAGATCCAGACCAGCCTGCGCATCCGCGAAGTCTGATCAGGATCCATGTTGTTTGCTATCAGTTTCTCTTCTTGTAATAGAGTTGGTAAGCGAACAGCATGGATCCTGATCAGACTTCGGGAGGTGCAAGAAGGTCTGGATCCATGCTGGTCACAAACCCACTATGTTGGTCTTGTCATGACACGGCTCATATTATTCTAGTGTGATTTGCATTTATCAAGCAATGAACTTCCCGGTTAAACATACATATATATATCTTTATCTTTAATAAAAATTTATGTTATGTAATATTTGTTTTTATCACATAAATGGCTACGCAGGAGTGTAATAAAGCCATTTAATAAATACGATATTACACTAGTGTAATAACACTTTGACGTGACATCATTTGCGCTATTTAGAAACATAGCCCTAAAGTATGCTAATGTTAGTGTTACACTATAGGCGTGTCATTGAAAAATTACTCATTTTAACAGTTTACTGTTCTTATTTTATAAATGTGATAAATAGAATATTATATTCGTGTAGATTCAATACTAAATTTATTAAAACAATATTATGCTCGCTAGAGGCTCGCATAATATGATTTTATTCAACTCGTTCAATAAATTTAGTATACAACTACACTCATTCAATATCCTCTATATGTCTTTGTAATAGATTAATCAGATTGTTGTATGGTTTGGCTCAGACTCCTTGTAAAGTTTGAAGTGAATTATTGCTAAATTGCATTATTTCATATTTATTTTTTTATGGAGCATCATAAGCTCAAAAGCATTGGAGGTTTCTTCCAGAGCATGACATAAATTATATAATAGTATTGGATTCCGAAGTATAGCTAAGAATGGAAATGTAAGAAATAAGGCATATAATGATAAACAAGTAAAATTTTTTAATTCATTATATAAAATATTTAATGGTACTCTCTATCGGTTTTTCAAAATTATGTGGAAGTAATGTAAATCAAACGGTTATCTGCATTGTTACTGCACTATGCTATGAAGGATAATAAAAAAAGAAATCTCAACTTATAATTACAAGTGCTTAATTCATGGTCTTTCTAAGATTTAATATTATCAATTCATCTATCCTTTAATAAATGATGTATATAAAGTTTTTTTGTTTTTTTTTCTAGTACTTTTTGACTTTTTGATGCCAGTATCCAATTATCACTTATCAGTGTTTCATGTGCATTTGTAATTTAGTTTGGAATGAAAAAATTTAAAGCATGATTAAATGATTAACATTGAATAATTTAAAAGAAGCCAGTAACTAAATCCTGATTTATTTTATGAAACAATCCAGTTAACTTGCAGAAGGTCAGTGGTTTTACTCTGATGTTTGTGTGCCTTAAAACCATACAAAAAATAGATAATCAATATAAATATCAACATTATAAAGATCAATGCTGTATTAATTGTTGTTACTATATTAATATTACGTCATCATTAAAGATGAGTTTAAGGAACATGAAATATTTCTCAAACATAAGAGAAATCTATTAAAATCCAGAATGAGAAATTACAAATTGTGATTTGCAATGCAGGTCTATTTGTAGCTTTTGTTATTCAAAGTTTCCCCTTTACTTATTTTTTTTTTGAAAATTTAAGAAAGGATAAGAAGTAATATTTTTCATGTTATGCTGATTTAGCAGTATTTCATTACCATATTTCTACTGGTTAACTAACAACATAATTTTCTTGGATTGTAATTGCCAATTGCAATATGTAAATTACTTTATTTGTTCACCTCTTAATATTTTACTTTTATAAATATATATCCAAAATTTTCATGAAAATTATCATGAATCGGGAGGCGTGCTGCTTTAATGATATTTTTGAAAGACTGACATGGATTGGTTGATATACAACACTGATGTTTCATATCTTAAAAGACCTTGACTTTTATTTGAGTTATGCCCCTTTTTTTCTGGGAAATTATTGGTTTCCTAAGGAACACTTCAATTTCAATGATTAGTTTTCTTTGAAATCAATTTTATTATTCATTGAGTTATGCCCCTTTATATGCATGCTGTTTGTGAAATTATCATTTATTTTTCTATTGAATTATTTTTTTAGGCCATTTGCCTATGAAAGATGTATGGATGATTCATATTACTGTGTAATAGTCAGAAAATTTCAGTTTTACTTAATTTATCCTAATTTAAGGCAATTTTAATAACAATAAAGTAATTCATTTTTAGGCAAAAGCTACAATATATAATTGTCAATGGTCTTCTATTGCTAATATATCAGTCACTACAATAAACTAGATATTAATGTTAAGGTGTATTTTTTTTTTCTCTAAAAGAATGTGTCCCTCCCGTTTCAGTATTACTTGAAATATGCAAAGTGTGTCTTCTCTGATATGCATTTTGATACTGTTGGGCTTAAAATAATACATGTTCAAATTTTATATGATATTCTTTGGTTTTAGGTCAGTTGAAGCTGTCAGCGTACATGAACTATGGTCTTCTCACTGTACACGTTATCCAGGGACGTCATTTTAGTTCAGCATGGAAACAACAGGCCAACACGTTTGTCATGATCTCGGTCATCCCTGAGGTTACAGGTGTAACCCCCACACGCTGTAGAACAGCCATCGTTACAGACAGTACACGTCCATCGTACAATGAGAAGTTTTCTTTGTAAGTTTTGTACAATTATTTTGCACATTTTGCCATGAAATATGTATAACATTTTCAAAATCAACAAAAACTAATTTATTTAGAATATGAATGTATAAAAATGAACTAATTTACTAGGCAATATTTTAATCTCAGAAAATATGAGGGATGTCTGGAAAGTTCATATACAGCTTCATTTTTTATTGTATAACCATGAACTTAATTATGCTGTACAAATTTTGTCAGCATCAATATACATATCTAGCGAACACACTTATCAAAAATTATTGAACTGTGACTTACGTTTGTATTTTAACAGTATTTACATACAACATATATACATCGTCATGGAGCACTTTGACAACGTCAACGGCGTCAAATAAACTTCATGTTTACCAACTATTCAATTTCTTCCGATTTTAATAGCCATGGTACCTGTCTGGCGTATACTTAATACATGTGTTGTTCCTTTGCTATTACTTCATGAATTTCATATTAAAAATTATTATTTAAAATCAAAGATGTCACTTGTTCCCATACAGTGTGTGAGATGTCTGCCTTTTTCAAAAATTGTAACGCAATCTACGATATTTCGGCCATGCTACTTTTGGTCGTCTGATGTGTTTCTTATACGGCATCCTGTCATCACCGCTTCTTGATCTTGTTTGACATTTAAACACAAGTTGCCTTTAACATTTAATGGTTGATTTTGTTTTTAAACGTAAAGATTAAAATATCAGTTGGCACCATATTAGCGTTGCTGTGAAGTTATTTTTAATATCATAACGTTGCTCCGTCCGTTAATTTGACGTCATTTTTGCAACACAAAATTTACGCACCTTCATTGCCTATAATCGTCTTTTACAAGCTGTTTGTTTATGTATGACGTCATAATTTACACTAAATATCATGTACTAGTATCCTTTGATGCCACAAAATTAAAAGGAAAGTTTGCGTTAAAATTACAACTTTTAGCAACTTATTATTCGAGTAGCTATCGTTATGAAATCAAAGTGCTCCGTGATTCGTTGATCATGTTGCCATAGTGATCGGCGCATTACAGATATTTATTTGATCATGTGTTTTAATTTAGAAATATGTAGCAAATAAATACTTAAGCAAAATATTAAATCATCATATTGATATGACTGTTTATAATAATTTTATAGCCTTGTCTACGAACTTTCCGGACAGCCCTCGTATTAGGGCATTGAAAGTTGGGTAATTATTTTGTGGTATCATTGATGAATTTGTTTTACTTTTTATAGCTAAATGATTTGAATGATTATTTCTGGGACAAAATAGGGGTTTTTTTTATTAAAATTAATTATTCATGATGCCTGTATGAATCTGTGTGATATATTTTATTGAAAATTGATGCATAATACATCATTGCAGTTATTTTCATCCAGAACATGTTCACTGGAATTTGATACACAAAATGTTCCCTTGAAAAGAATTAAAATAAATATTTTTAATTATTTACAAGAAAATTACTTAGCTGTCACACAGCTTAATTTAAATTGCAATTTTAAACACAATTTGCATAATGCCATTCTACTTCTTCAAGTTGCACACTGCCTTGTTTGGTATAGTGATTTATGTGATTTATGGAAACATGTGTATTGCCAGATAACAATACAGTAGCTGTCATAAATATTATGCTTTTACATTGTATATTGTCACAGTTGACATAGCATAGTACAGTGCTTTATTGGTTGATATAACATTGTATATTGTCACAGCAAACACTTAACTTTCAAAGTTATTGAATGGTTAAATTGTATTCCAATCATATTTTCTGTTTCATGTTATATGTGTACTATCTTTAATTAGTATAATGTTTGAATGAAACATGCCCTTATATTGACATAAAATTAAATTTTCTATGCTTTTATGACATTGAATGATTTTAAGCATAAAAAAACAATCTGAATGACTTTCACCCTGTGTTTTATTTATCTATTATTGCAACTACACTAAGTCTTATTCATTGGGGGCTTATATCATAAGAAATAAATTCTGATATACATCAGCCATTAACTCAGTTTATGTTAAAATAAATGTAATTGTGTTTTTAAATAAAAAAAAAATATTAAAATATAATGAACATTAACTTTCTTGATTAAGAAAATGTTCTGAAATTGTGCATGCTTTAAATATCTAAAACAAACTGACAAAAATAGGGGGACATTTTGCTATCTGACCCTTAAAGTGAGTTATTTTTTTGCATTTTGAATTTTTGAGTCAATTTCAGTAGCAAATAAGTTAAGAAATATTCAATATATTTTTATTAAATGGACATGAGAAAACAGACATGAGATCATTTTTTTCTTTTTTTTTTTTTAGGATAGTAATGGCCATATGTATATTTGTATCAATAATGGAAAATAAACTTGAAATATATAATAAAGTTTTATTTAGAAAACCATCTTCTTTAACTTAGAATTCAATTTCACAAAATCCCTTGCTGGTTCCAAAATCAAGCCAGGATTTGCCGTATGATGGCCCATCAGAGATATTAAGCTAATTATGGGTACATTTGATTGAATAAGATCTATTTTCTGCAACAATTTAGAATCCACTTATGAAATTCATTATAAGAACTATAAAAGGTAGAGACTGAAGATAACAAATATTGTATATTATATTACAGTGAGGTTGGTGATGATGACGTTCACAGACGACTCTTGTTGACAGTCTATCATAGAGATTCTTCTGGGTATGTTATGACATTTTCAACTTAAACCCTGCAGAATATAAAGTGAACTTGTCCGGCAGTTGACAGGAAACTGTTTAATGTAGAGGCTACTATGATGAGGCTGGCAAGACCATCTGCCTAGCTGGCACACTTGTTTGACTGAAACTCTATGAACATTTTGTTAATATATTAAAATACTTTTTTGCTGTAACATTTTAAATTGAAAAATGAATACAAATGATAAGGGAAGAGGCTACCTATCAGTAAGGCTTCTGGGTAAAAGTGGTGCTGGTGTTACAACCATATTTCCTCATTAGTACTGGTTAGTTCCAGGAACTGGACTCAAGTGATTCAAACTGGCTGAAAAATTTAAATCATTTCAGTTTGTATACATTACATAATAGGTTCATGTATATAAATGTACAGGGAAAAATGAATAGTTTTTGTATTTAGCATAATAATTTCAAAATGACTTGCATCAGATTTTTAGAATTTAAGATTATAAGATAATGAAATTATATTTATAATTATTTATATTTCAGTAACCACGAGTCTCTGGGATGTACATCATTTGGTATCAGACACCTCCAGCAGGGAAATCGTGAAGTAAATGGTTGGTACCACCTTCTCACTGACAGTGTTGGTCACAAGAAACATCTACGTGTAACCGCCAAGGACAGACCTTCTGTTCCTGTGATGCAGAGCCGAGAACCACGCCAGATACCAGCCGTTAATCGTGATGTACCAGATCTTGATCGCCTAGACTTAACCATCTATCGTTCCCAGTATGGTGGTTTTGGTTTTTCTGTTGTTGACTCGTGTCCAGTGAAGATTGGTCGTGTTGATGGGTCATCTAGTGCTCAGGAAGTTGGTCTTCAGAAAGGTGATCTTGTTATCCGGGTCAATGGTCAGAATGTGTCAAGGTCAACTTCAGTCAGTGTAGCCAGGTGTATAAAGTAAGTGTATACATTAAAATGTTTTGTAAAGATTATATCCAACTGTTTATTACAGCTCAATAAAGTTGTACTTATTTGAGTATTTATTTGAAGTCCTTTTTGGATTATTCCAGTATTATCGTCAAATGAAGAAACATGGTTAATGACTAGGGTTTTTACTTATAGCCCTGTTTGAACTGAAGGCTATGTTTTAAAAAAAAAAAAAAACTAGTATATTACATATGATTATAATGAGATTGGTTCTCTGATCAGAGCTTTTTTATCTGAAATAATGACAGAAATATATTGCATTGTAATGAGCTTGACAATTCGATTCAACATTGCCAAAAAATGAATGCTTGGTGACAATAATATTTTTGATTTTATGTTTATCTGTGCATTATTTGTATTTTTTTCTTCTTCTTAGGAAGTCGGGAAATAGAGTTCAGTTAGAGGTTCAACGCCCAGGTTGTTATGCCACACCCACTCCTCTCCAATCATCCGCCTTGAAGTCCAGCAGTGAAGACTCTGGTAACACCTCCGTCCAGGAATTTACGATCTGTGACGATAGAACGGCTCTACTCAACTCAGCCATTGTAAGCTTTAAACCATTCCGTGTGCTTCATAAACTTAGAACTAAATCATGTTTTAGTCTATCTACCACAAGACCAGTGAGAATTTAGTGATGCATAGTCTACTGAAAAAAGTCATTTGACATTACATAAACAATGTTTCTTTCAGTCACAAGTGTGTTACGTTCTATCTATAGCAAAGATAGTGCTGTTGGTGTTATATATGTTGAATACTCAGTGCACTTGACTTTTAAGTACTATCATAATTATTATGAGTGTTTGATTTTATCTAAATCTTAGGGATGTAAAATTATGAAATGATAATAGTTTTGTATGTTGAGATTTCATTGTGGCTGTAGAACTTGCAGGAATATCTAATGAGAACAGACTTTGTGCAGACAGACATTATGCAAGGAAAAATGTGCTTGAATATTTTATAGATTTTTATCCTTTGTTCAAATACAAAAATAAAAATATCTAAAATGAGATTGGTTGTTGTCATTTATTCTGAAATGGTCAACAAAGTTTAAGGTCTGTCTGCATGTGTCTGTGTGCTAAACAATTTTAAATGATTACATTTTAAGTCAGTAAAAATATAACAAAAATTAATAAATTTCAGAGTGTAGACACACGCAGACAGGCCGCTCTTCATCGGTTATTATGCCTTGAGGAGAACTTTGTCGACTTTATGAACTCCGGAATCCAGAAGTTTTCACGTCCCCTCCGCCACTGTGTTATCAACAGCTCCCAGCATGCAACACTCTTCCAAAACATAGAAAAGGTAAATTTTGTTTCTGATTTAGATTTTAATTTTGTCTAAATACAAGATAATTTTTAAGCCCTGCTCAGAAGTCTTGGAGTTCAGTATCAAAATTAGGCTGCCAACTGCTGGGCCCTAATGTGGACTGATTGCATAGGCCTGTGTGACTACTAAGATTTGAAGAGATAAACATATTCTCCGTATTTAAATCTGTAATAAAGTGATATGTTGAAACTATTTATAATCTATCAAAAGTTTTTAATAAGCCTGGTTAAGTATATTTTGTATATATACACATTTAACCCGACAGTCAGTTTCATGGATTTTTGGATTTAAATCTGAGCAAAAGCTGTCTGCTTATTGTTGTTAAAGCTTAATTTTCACTTTTTAAAAAAACTGAGGTAAGTTGTTCATTGTAAGTATAACTATGTGTTTTTCTGTGTTGGTAATTGTATTTTTTATTTACAGATAGTTTGTATGAGTCAGTACCAGGTACACCAGATATTAGATAATCTCCCATCCTACACACCCTCTGATGATGATGATGATGATACTTCGTTTGTTGTTGAGAATGATCTTACATCAGTCATCGCCATGATCTACCTATCTAAGGTTAGTATTTAGAAGAATTCTTAACTATCTAGACCCAAAAAGAAATGTCAACAAAATTTAAGTAATTTTTTATTGTTAGTGAATTGTCTTGTTGCATGCCTTAAGTTAAGTTAATTTGTAACACATTTGTGTCCTCAATAGCATTTATTTAACTGTTGCATCTATCTGAATACTGTGCCTGGTATAAAAAGTAGATAAACGTCTTAGATGCTAATAAGCTCATCGCTTCTTTTAAGCTGTTTAATTTTTCTACTGGTGTCTATTTATTATCCAAATACAAGATTTTCAAATCAAGTTTCACAAAACATCTATCAAAGAAATTTTCAAACATAAACATTTCTATAAACAGAATAACAATTAATATTTTCATTATGTAAATAATCTAAATTTCTGAACTGTTCCAATTTTGAAAGGAGATGCTGTTTTGTTGGTTCACATTATTTTTGTTATACCTACACACCACATGTTAGGCAAATTAGGCAAACGTTGGTTCACATCAGTTCATTATTTTTGTTATTATTCATTTACATGTTCATTCAATTTTGTATACATGTTTTTCAGTTACCAGTGATCTGTACAGCTTACGCCTTATACGCTAGGGGTCTGTCCCACGCTGCCTCCTTGCTTGGTTCCCTGGAGAATAACGATCAGTTCTGTGGTTTCCTACTTAACGTTTCTCAACAAGGGAAGGAACCCAGTCTGTGTGACTTCATTAATCGTCCCCTCGCCCACTTTCAGGAAGTTTTTGGTCTGCTTCAGATTATATCTACCACTACAATGCCTCACTCAGAAGAACGAGCCATGTTTTTTGACATTCTCACAGGTAAGCTGATATACAATGATATCATATTATTTTCATATAATCATACTCAAATTTTAGAGAAAACAAGGAAATGTCTACAAATATGTAGAATTTTCAAGTTAGTGTGGAAATGTGCAATATGATGATGCAGCATCATAACATCTGGAACAATTTACATGAATATGATAGTTCACCTGAAATGCAAACTGTAATAAAATGGAGAGATTAATCCACAAGACAAAAAAATCACAGATTATTTAGTTATAGCATATACAGTCAAATCTGAAGGAGCAGGCACACCTGCACAACAGCCAATTTGTAAACAGCAGTCAGCTGAAGTCCACCTGTGTCAACAACAGTTTTTGACATGTATACAGCGGATGACATTTCAAGTAACAAACTTTCTGTATATGATGAAAAGAATAAATTCTTTCTTAGGCAACTCATAATATGTGGATGAGTTTCAAGTCTAAATCATTACTTTACAAATCTGTACATGTTTTTTTCTTCATTTTCAGGACTACAGTCGGTTAACGAGCTAGTCGCCCTCACAGACTTAGTCACCAGTACTTTTCCCACCACTGTAATCACTCTGCCCACAGTATCAACCCAGCGCCGAGTACCACTAATGGGGTCATTGGTCTTGAAACGGTCATCATCTGAGACGTCGTCCTCAAGCGGGTTTGGTAGTGGGTCATCTCAGAACTCAGACATTCCTTCATGTGGTTCAGAGACAGAGAACACTGTTTGTGATCATTCTGTGTTTCTAAGTACACTTGTGTAAAGTGAAAAATGGATTATATGAAAGTGCTATCTGTGTTACACGAATGTGTAAATGTTGTTGTTGTTATTCTAAAGATTGTTAATTTTTAAAAATTTGTTAATGATATTTGTTTATGTATTATTTAAATCATGTAAATATGTGCTATGTATATAAATTATGAAAGCTTCTGTATAATCTACCTTTCCTAAACTTTCAACGTTCTGTTTGGTCTTGAAACTAATCATTTTTTGCTAATTTTTGGAATACAGTAAAGTTACAGAGATTTAGTATTTCTTGTATGCTAATTTTTCAACAAATGTGACATTATTCAATTATACTTTCTTAACCTGAAAAAAATAATAATATTCAGAGTATAACACACAAGTTTTCTTTATCAGGATTTTTTTTCAAGTTTTCTTTTCTCTTGACTTTTTTCTACTGTTTTTTTCTATTCTTTCTTCATTCTTCTTGTTGCTTCATTTGTTATTTTATATCTGTAAAAATAAAATAAAATGTGCAATTTTGCATTTTTTTTCTATGTTATCTATAAACCTATATACATGTAGTCCTAAAATGCCATTTACAGTCACTGACTTATCTATCCTCATGCCCAGGCAAATATTCAATGGTTAATGATTTTCTGTCAACATATAAAAACAAAATTTTTATTTTAAGATCAAGGAAAAGCCTTGTATCAAAAATGTTGGTTTGTCTATCCAAGCATTGCAAAAATACTTCAGGGTCCACAAGCAGTACTACATTCAGTAACAAAAAAAAAACAGTGGCATGTTTGTCCGTCTGAATTACTTGATACACTTTGTATAAAAACTGGTGAGATGAAGTGTCCAAGATCCATTAATTGCTATTTTGTTTTAGTTTTTAACCATTTACCTTTATTGATACTTATCCTGCTCTCCCATATACATGTATAATACTATAATGTTACAGAGATCATATCAGAAAATGTCACCGGAACATCACCCTTTCCTAGATTTTTCTGGCCCCAAACTTTTTTACAAATAAAATAAGAATTTGTCAACAGAAGAGAAACTTTGACAGAACACCTTATCTTGCCTTTATTCAAAATTTCAAGGCAGTATATGAGACCTTTTTCATTTTTAATATATTCAGTACCAGTAAGCAGTGTAAAGGTGGTTTATCAATGAAACAGAATTTTCAAACTTCCATATGTTCAAAATGGGGAAAGGGGCCTGTGAATCAAATCAGAATGCCTCCGGCATTGCTTATTTTTAAATGTAGGGAGGTTAAGGTAACTTTAAACATCAGGCTCAGAACATATAAACCAATATACTCTTTTAATTGCTAGAAAACAAACCATTGTCTGATATGATCACAAAGAATAGACCATACTGGAAACTGCTAGGAAACTAGTACATACATGTACTTAAAAAAATATGAGGAAAAAAAATATCAACACCAGCTTACCTTACACTGTTGCTTTATTTATTGACAACTGTTTCATATTTGGTAGGATCAAATCTTACGTAGTCCTCTAAGGTGAAGAAAGAGGTACTGATGTCTTTGATTCTATGACTTGATTCTATGACCATGTGAAGTTTCATTAAGATATAATTGACATTTTAGAAGTTGTACTCAGGACAAACATTATAAATATAATTATATAATATAGTGGCGGCATGGCCGAGTGGTTAACGCGTCGGACTAGTATCTAATGATCGCTAGAAGCATGGGTTCAAACCCCGTCAGGGGCAAGTCGTTGTTTCCTTGAGCAAGAAACTTAACACTCATTGCTCAGTACTGGTTGGTTCCAGGAACGGATTCGAAAGTGTGTCTATAAGCTTATAGCTTCCTACACAATCAAACTAAAATAAATTCTGTATAAACCAAATATTATAAAAAAATTAAATCACAAAGGAAAATAATTAAAAAATGAAAAAGGTGTAATTATGATTTCTATTTGTCACAACCTGCACCTTTCTTACATTCTGAGACCCAAACAAATTCATCGCCTTCAGTGCTTTGATTTTACACTGCACTTCCTCATTACTAATCGCTATAACTTTGTAAAGTTTAAATCAAATTCCTTCAATATTTTTATTATATTGTTATTTATTATGTAATTGTTATTCTTTGGACAAACATTATGAAATGTATAACGGGAGATAATAAGAAAAAATCATGTAGAGGTATGATTCTTTGCCACTGCACTTCCTCTTACTAGTTTCTGAAACTGTGTGAAGTTTCAATGATATATAATTGATACCAGACATTAGACTTAGATTCAAAATTTTAACTGAAAAGTATCATAAAGGGAGATGATTAAAAAAAAATAAGCAATGTCTTAGCCACTGCAATTGACCAGGTATCTACATGTATCAGTTTTAATCAAATTCCTTCAATACTCAGTCAATTGAAATATGTTATAATCCAAAATTCTGGCAAATTGACTGTTCATATAGTTTGAATTCTGTAGCAAGTCAGCTGTTGGAAGATTTTCACAACTTAATTTGAAGATTATGACACATCTATCATTCCATACTTGTATTTTTGGTATTACTGTGATACTGTAGTAGTTTACCTCCTGACATCATCTGAATTTGCAGACAATAGAAAAAGTTTAAGATATGACATTTAAATTGGATCTTCAGAAATAAAGAAATTAAAGAAATAACATTTTCAACAAGATTTGATATCCCCCACTGAATATTATGATATCAATATCAATTACATGGCAATAAATTTATGGTGTATGTCTGTCAAAGAATTCAATGTTGAGTTCAAACAAATTATTCACTGATATCACCTTTTGATTCTGAATAAAGTTCACAACTGATTATTTATAAAATGTATTGTGACTTTGATAGTGGTAAACTTATGTTTAAACTGTAGCCTAAAACACCCAGACAAGACTTAGTATAATTCAAAATTCAAAATGGGTTTCATGGGGTTCAACTTCCGAAGGTTTTTTTTGGAAGGTGAGTGGCGCCTAGTGGTTAAGGTGTCTGCCTCTCAACCCAGAGATCATGGGTTTGAGCCCTACTCGTGTTACGACCATGTTTCTTCATATGACACCAGGTTCCAGGAATCCGACTCCAAAGTGAATGATATAAGTTGCAAAAACTTGTTTCGCAATGGAGCTTAAATAAATATGTTTAAACCAAAGGTTTTGTTAACATTTGTTGCTAGTGTTTGAATTTTTGTGTTGGAAGCAAAAAAGTGGCAGCTTAGGTAGTCCTAGCATTAGACACATATTGTATAAAAAAAACTGTTATCATGGTTACATGGCTTGATGTGGGTTCAAACCCATACAGGAAATGCTGTTGTTTTTGTGGGCATCCTACAGAAATAATAAAAAAATGCTTAACCAGTCAGTTACAATAAATTTGCATAATTCATAGAACAATTTCATAGATTTACAGCAACCAAATAAAGACGTCTATTTCAAAGGTGAAGTATACTGCAAATAAAGCCCATAAAAACTATAAAAGCTAATTTCAGTTTCCCTCTTTGATGATCTTTGCAGGTTTGACTATAGATTATAAATAACATACATTTGTAATTAAGACATATCAAACTATGGCAATGGCCAAGATTTAAAATTAAGGTATGCAAACAGAATTTCACCATGGAGTAAATCTAAGTTTATAATAAAAATAAATTTCAGTGTTAAGTAAACTGGAGAGCTCAAAAGTTTCTTTTAAGAATAATTATGGAAATTGGCTTATATGAATTGCCATTTTATTAAACTTTGTCTCTGATTATGCATGATTATGCATCCATGGTTGAAACTCTTCATTAAATCCATACATACAAAAACATCCACAACACTAACATCTAAGGACAGTAATAATATGTTTAATATATAAAAAAACACAACACAATTTTAAACTGTGGAAACTTATTAAAATATTATTAATTTGAGACAAATATTATTAATTGAGAGCTTTATTTGGAGTATTCTTGTTACACACATTCTTTTTAAGTCCCTTTATGGCCAAATCCAATAAGTTAGAAAACTTTCAAACACAGACACTTTCAAAGGTTGTTACCACTGTGTTGCTTTAGTTTATACAGAGTTTGTTTTAGTTTGATTGTGTTGGAAGCATAAATCTTATATAACCTATAGTTACAGTGTGTTAGCTTTCTTGTTCACACAAAAAAATTAACGGGATGAACTGTTTTTATACAAGTTTATATATGTATCAATCTGCTTAAAGTGTTGTTTCAATTTGCAAATGGTCTGTCATACTTGCATTTACCATGCCTGTATGTAGTTTCATTTAACAAGAGCTGTCGGAGGACAGCAACGCTTGACAATTCTAATGAGTTGTCACAAGGGTGTTTCATTGAGTATAATGTTTACCTATATGACTACATATAATTGTCCCAAAAAGGCACAAAGGCTTGTTATTTCATGTTTCATTGAGTAAATCACTGCTTGTTTATTACGAATGCATAAAATTGTCACAAAATAGGCACAAGCCCTTCAGTAGTTTTGGAAACACCAACTTACACCAAAAAAATTAACCAAAAATTACAAAGTTGTAAAATGGGTTAAATTATGCAAAAAAAGCAAATCTGAGTTATGGCACTTGTACCAATGATGTTAGATAATCACAGAGAATAAGTGTGTGAAGTTACAATCCATTTGGAGATACCAGCTTAAACACAGAACTTAACTAAGAAATTTCTAAGTCCAAAAAGAAGCAAAAATATGCAAAAAAAGCAATCAGAGTTTTGGGACTTTTGCCAATAACATTAGATAACATAAGATAATAACAGAGAAGAAGCGTGTGAAGTTTCAATCCATTTCCATCATTACTTATGGAGATACCAGCTTACATGCAAAAACTTAATCACAGGGATGCCGACGCCTGAAGCCAACAAATGGGTGACTGCGTTACTTCGAGTATTCTGCAAATAGTCAAGCTCTTGGGAACAAGTCAGTTTGGCCAGGGTTGTCATTTTTTTTCTGAGACAGTCGTTTCTTTTATCAGTACAATTTATGTAATACTAATTTATGTTTCCCCTTAAAGGAATATTCAGGCAAAATAAAGACAAAAATATTAAAATGATCTTATGTACTCAAATCACGCTAAAATGACATTTCTTAAAGTTCCAGCATGAATTTCTCTTCAAATTCTATATATTTTGGGTTTGAAGCGTAAATATATCTATGTTTTAGACGCCAAATAGTTTTAGAAAAAGTCATGTGACTTGAACAAACCCTTGAAGTTACAATAACAGATATTGTGGATATTGTATGATTGAAACAAGTCTAAGTCATTCATTTGACATGTTCTTTACGTTTCCAGAGTTCACTGTGACAACTATTGTGAATTCCTAGCGCTCTAACCTGAATCAGCCGGGTTAAGTTAGTAATCGTGATTATTGAGAAAAGTTTGTTCCTTTGACTGTCCAATGTATTCCTTTCTGAGGTCATTTACAGAATAATGAATGAAAAAATTTAAAACTATAAAATGAAAATTTTGCCTGTGTCTCCTTTAACATTTATTTCTGAAAAAGCTTTTTAGAATTTTTGGTGACAATCACAGTTCATTGACTAAAAAGCTGAACTATTTTGTTTCAGTTGCGTTTTGGTATATTATATAAAAGTCAAACTACCACTTTGATTACATAATTTGTAACCCATTTAGCTACAAATTTCACATTCAGGAATTTTTCATTTAAGACAACACAAGCTTTTCTACAGAACAAAGAGTTTCTGGGGCATAACGGTTTTATAATTAATAGATATATTAATCTATTAAAAGTAAAATTATGTCGCTTTCATAAAGGTGGTGGAAGGGCTAAGTAATGTCATTGATATTTAGTACACTAGTACAAAACAGAATAAAATGTTCCGAAACAAATGTAAAGTGCATGCACCATTCAGTTTTTGGCTTTATTAAGAATATTTCTTTCATACAGACATTTTGAAACAAAAATCTTTCAGCAGATATATTAAGCTTAATACCTTCAAGATATACACCTAAATTCAATGTAGAACAGGATCATAATACTCAAAACAACAACAATGAATATTTTCAACATTTTATTTGTTTTAATATAATATTAATCGAGTAAGAAGAAAGATAGGATTTGAATTCAGAAAGAGTGTAGAAAGGAAGAAATTACTGTAAATATTCTGATATTGACATCATTATTATTGCAATTCAAAAAATTCATGAAAAATGTTATTTAATTCTTTACACAAGTTGTGAAGTATTTAATCATCCAATGACAACAATTATTTTCAGAGTTTGCAATTATGTCAAGTTAACAGCAATCCCTTCAAGAAAGAAATGAAAGACATGATTTATATTCATAACAATAATATATTTACAAAATCTATATACAATGTAAAAACAAATATCATTAACAATAGGCACATTTTCAAAATTAACACAGCATAATTAACAACAACACAAATGTACACATATGCAAAACATAATGTGTTACACAGATAGCACTTTCATATAATCCATTTTTCACTTTACACAAGTGTACTTAGAAACACAGAATGATCACAAACAATGGTCTCTGTCTCTGAACCACATGAAGGAATGTCCGAGTTCTGAGATGACCCACTTCCAAACCCGCTCGAAGACGAAGTCTCAGACGATGACCGTTTCAAGACTAGTGACCCCATTAGTGGTACTCGGCGCTGGGTTGAACCTGTAGGTAAGGTGATAACGGTGGTAGGAAAAGTACTGGTGACCAAGTCTGTGTGGGCAACCAGCTCGTTAACAGACTGTAGTCCTGAAAATGAAGAAAAAAAACATGTACAGATTTGTAAAGTACTAAAACCATTGAAACAAAACATTCCTTAATGAACATAATTAATTATGTCTGAAGAAAAATCAGTACAACATTTTTAAGAGACAGAGCAAAAACAAAGTTGGTAATTTTTCAGTTAACATCAGTTTTAACATCTGAATTTAAAAAATGTAAGAAGCTATGATCAATCACAATTCACAATGAAAGTGACCTGCAGACTAGAATATTTTGCGAATCTTTTTCCTTCAAGGATAATGGTATGAATAATTTTGATAACATAGCATGTCAGCTTACCTGTGAGAATGTCATAAAACATGGCTCGTTCTTCTGAGTGAGGCATTGTAGTTGTAGATATAATCTGAAGCAGACCAAACACTTCCTGAAAGTGGGCGAGGGGACGGTTAATGAAGTCACACAGACTGGGTTCCTTCCCTTGTTGAGAGACGTTAAGTAGAAATCCACAGAACTGATCGTTCTTCTCCAGGGAACCAAGCAAGGAGGCAGCGTGGGACAGACCCCTAGCGTATAAGGCGTAGGCAGTACAGATCACTGGTAACTGAAATAGATGTATATAGAGTTTATATAACAAGACTGAAACAAAACAAATTGACAGGTTATATAGCTTCACATAAATATATAATTATTTTGTCTTAGCATCATTAATATTCATCAGCACCGTTTGCACGAGTCTAAAAAGCCTGTCCAGTTTTAAAAGTACATGTTTGTGAAGGATCTCCAGTCGCTTCCAATTATTCTGGTCTTATGTTAATGTCATAATGTTCCTATGATATTTGTGCACTGTAAATATTGATAAATGCCAAAAGGGTTGAAGAGTTGCCCCTAAGCATGACTTGTAGTAATAGAAATGAGACAAACTGTGGTTCTGACATTGGGGTATTTGGAATGCAATTTACTGTTTTATAGATACTAACCTTAGATAGGTAGATCATGGCGATGACTGATGTAAGATCATTCTCAACAACAAACGAAGTGTCAGTATCATCATCATCATCATCAGAGGGTGTGTAGGATGGGAGATTATCTAATATCTGGTGTACCTGGTACTGACTCATACATACTATCTGTAAATAAAAGTAATCATAATTATTATATGGGAAAAAAGTAACAGAAATATAATGTAGATTAATTTTCTTAGAGTTAAATTCATAATCTGTAATTCATCATAAGACACATTGGATATTTTTGTTCTCAGGCTGACTATATCACACTAGAAAATATTGATATGTATGTTGACATTTTCTGACTTCAATGTAAAATAATATTTTTGTTTTATTTCATTAAAAATAATAAATCAACTCCTTGCAATCTAGAAACAGATGCACTAAAAATGACATCACATGCTTAAGAGGCAAGATTTTATTTCAAAATATTTCACTCAGGTTAGCATAAGATAAAACTAATTTATGCCAATTAAATTAATTGTTATCATCAAGATATCATATCTTCACTGGCCTCATGTAATGGAGCAAATATTATACCAGATATCAAGTGTAAAATGACATCAAATATGTTGGTTGTTGAACATGATGTTGAAAAATATTTGTTTCTTTCTAATTACATGGAATTCAGGCATACACATGAAAGAAAATCAAATGAGAAACAAAATTTACCTTTTCTATGTTCTGGAAGAGTGTTGCATGCTGGGAGCTGTTGATAACACAGTGGCGGAGGGGACGTGAAAACTTCTGTATTCCCGAGTTCATAAAGTCGACAAAGTTCTCCTCAAGGCATAATAACCGATGAAGAGCAGCCTGTCTGCGTGTGTCTACACTCTGAAATTTATCAATTTTTGTTATATTTTTACTGACAGAAAAATGTAATCATTTAAAATATGTTCAGCACACAGACACATGCAGACAGACCTTAAACTTTGTTGATCATTTCAGAATAAATGACAACAACCAATCTCATTTTAGATATCTTTATTTTTGTATTTGAACAAAGGATAAAAATCTATATCAAATATTCAAGCACATTTTTCCTTGCATAATGTCTGTCTGCACAAAGTCTGTGTTCTCATTATATATTCCTGCAAGTTCTACAGCCACAATGAAATCTCAACATACAAAACTATTATCATTTCATAATTTTACATTCCTAAGATTTAGATAAAATCAAACACTCATAATAATTATGATAGTACTTAAAAGTCAAGTGCACTGTGTATTCAACATATATAACACCAACAGCACTTTCTTTGCTATAGATAGAAACATACACTGCGACTGAAAGAAACATTGTTTATGTAATGTCAAATGACTTTTTTCAGTAGACTATACAGCACTAAATTCTCACTGGTCTAGTTGTAGAAAGACTAAAACATGATTTAGTTCTAAGTTTATGAAGCACACGGAATGGTTTAAAGCTTACAATGGCTGAGTTGAGTAGAGCCGTTCTGTCGTCACAGATCGTAAATTCCTGTACGGAGGTGTTACCAGAGTCTTCACTGCTGGACTTCAAGGCGGATGATTGGAGAGGAGTGGGTGTGGCATAACAACCTGGGCGTTGAACCTCTAACTGTACTCTATTTCCCGACTTCCTACAAAGAAGAAAAATACAAATAATGAACAAAATCTGTACTGACAGATAAGAAACATGTATGTTATCAATAATATTATTATTTGGCACCAAGCATTCCTAAAAAGAAGGAAAAATGCAAATAATATACAAAAGCTGTCCTGATAAGAAGTACAGAATCTGAATCATTTACATTTTTTCTTTGCTGGCATTGTTGCATCAATTGTAGGATTCAATTGAATTACTGGCATTAATTACTGACATTCTGCAATTAACTGTGGTCTGTTTTTGCAATTTCTGTGTATTTCAATTATAAGTTATGATAATATAATAATTGAATTTAAAAACTCTATCTGTAAGTTGAAAGAGCATGGTGCAATATCTGGAGCTGACATGATCACATGTTGTTGTTGTTTGTGTTTTTTGGAAAAATTTTGCCTGGTAATAAAAAAGTTTAACAGGACTAAGTTCGAGCTGTATTTGTGTCATTACCGTGTTTCTCCATGTAACTATGATGAAACAGAATCATAATTCAAATAATTTTTCACCACTTTTTTTTTAGAGCTGTAATAAACTGTTGTAAATAATGTATACACTTACTTTATACACCTGGCTACACTGACTGAAGTTGACCTTGACACATTCTGACCATTGACCCGGATAACAAGATCACCTTTCTGAAGACCAACTTCCTGAGCACTAGATGACCCATCAACACGACCAATCTTCACTGGACACGAGTCAACAACAGAGAAACCAAAACCACCATACTGGGAACGATAGATGGTCAAGTCTAGGCGATCAAGATCTGGTACATCACGATTAACGGCTGGTATCTGGCGTGGTTCTCGGCTCTGCATCACAGGAACAGAAGGTCTGTCCTTGGCGGTTACACGTAGATGTTTCTTGTGACCAACACTGTCAGTGAGAAGGTGGTACCAACCATTTACTTCACGATTTCCCTGCTGGAGGTGTCTGATACCAAATGATGTACATCCCAGAGACTCGTGGTTACTGAAATATAAAAGAAAATTGTAAAGAAGGAACATTGAAAGTTCATATAATTATGTAAATTACAAAGATAATCTAACAATTTTTTCCAGTTTTTTTCCAGTCTTGATGATTTGAGCCAAATGCTACCAGTAATTGAGACACATTGAGATATCATTTGATGTCAACATTCAAACTGCAGCATGCCTCCAGATTCATGAAAAGTTTGAAAATGTATTTAAAAGTAAAATATTGTGAAGTAAACAAAGAAAATAATTTACACATTGCAAACAGCTCTTGCAATCCCCATGAAAAAGGTCATAATAAGCTAAAATTAGCCCTTACTGCATAAGTAACGCAGTAGTAATATACCACAAAATCAGCCTTATAAATCATTACTTGAATTGTGAAACATTTTACTTTTCTTAAAATTTTAGCACATTTTTCTCAAATTTAATTTTTTTGAAATATTTTGGCTCATCTGGAGGCATGCAGCTTTAAAATGTAAACTCAGTATGCAGTCATTATCAGTCAAAGATTTTTTATTTTTTTTATATGGCCCTATAGTACGTGCATACATAACCCTGAGACTAGCTCATTTGGGTTCAGTTTTAAGTTTTACTTAACTACTGTTATGAAATACTTTTACAAAGAAATTGCAAAATTATTCATTCATTCTCATTTATTTTTTGATCTTGATCCTCATAGTAAATTTTGTTTTTTGCATCCTTGCTTACAGGTACAAAGAGCTTGTACTTCAATTAGGACTGCTAAAAGAAAAAGCTCCCCCGCCACCCTGTTCCTGTTTACTTCCATAAAAATCAAATATCTACTTTGTTGAGGATGTACTCAAGAATTGTAGCAGAGACATTTAAATATATGCATTTATATTTCTCTTACCCAAGATATTACCAAATATATTGTCTTTTTAATTAACAAGTACATGTTTTTCAAAAACAGTGATAGAAACATATTATAATTATATAGAATTTCATTTCAGCACAAAAATTGTGACTTCCTCATGGTTACAGACACCAAATAGATATAATTATTACAGCTTGACATTTTATATTCCTTTAAATGGAGTTATGTAATCTGCTACTATACATTACTATCTGGAAATCATTTAGTGCAGTCCATGCAGTTGGAATACAAAACAAGCTCATTTCATATTCATGCTGGGAAAATGTTTTAAGATAAAAGTTATATAACATACCCAGAAGAATCTCTGTGATAGACTGTCAACAAGAGTCGTCTGTGAACATCATCATCACCAACCTCACTGTAATATAATATACATTTTCATTTTTCAATCACATTTCTACATTTTTATTAAGTATAAGTCTTGAACGATGTGGAAAAGTCTATGCTTTAACTTGTAATACTTTATGAGACACATAATTAATTATAATTTTGTGAAAGAGCTTTTTCTAACAAAATGTTGGCATTTACAAAATGTGGGGAAGGAGTGTAGGATAGGGGTTCAAATTTTTATGAATACCACACAGTTGTTGTTAATATAGATAAGATAAATAGATATTTTTTAATACATCAGTGAAACATGTTAAATTCTTTTATGTCCACATAAGATGAGCCGAAAAAAATGTGTTACTGAAACTATAGGGAAAGTCCAATTAGTGAATCAATTTGATTGGATAAAACACTGCGAAATATGACAAAAAATTATTGTGCTTTTAATTCAGATGCAGCAAAACCAAAGTTGCATGCTAATTTAGAATCTTCAAATTCTACAATTTTGTCATCTGTTCAAATCTAGCATAAAATGACCTTTATGTGAAAATTTGCAGGAATTTATAGTCTGGTTCTCACATTAGAGATTTCTTTTTTATTTTGCTAAAAAATGTCACTTTTGATATTACATACTTGATAATTACAGTTATAGTCTTATCTTGATGTGAATTACTTAGAAAAAATGAAATATAAGAATAAAATATTCATATATTTTATGTAAGGAAGCAGAAATGTATATATTAATTCTGTATACAAAATCATTATAATTTGCAATAAAAGTAACATCATTCTTAGTATATTAAACACTTATTTTAATGTCAGAAAAAAATATTTAATTGGAATACACAAGTTTTCATCATCTAATAATTCACGATATATTTATTACAACTACTGTATGACACTGCTGATAATGTAATATCATCCAATATAGCACAGTTAGTAACAGCTACTGCATTCATGTCACTGGCAATATACAAGGCTATATCAACCAATATTGCACTGTGTTTATGACAGCTACTGTATGACAATACACACATCATAATATATCACCATATCAAATATACAATTAAATTACATAAGGCAATCAAAAAAAAAATTAAACTTTCATTTGAAAAGAAAATTTTTTTGTTTTTTTTGTTTTTTTTGGAGGGGGGGGAGAATTCAACAAAATGTATCATTGTAATCAAAGCAAATTTGTTAAATTGATATCCCCTATAAAAAGAATTTTCTTAAGATTTAGTAATGTGATCTTCAGAACATAAATATTATATTAAAATGAACAGTTTCTGTTACTATGCAAAATAATTGTACAAACTTACAAAGAAAACTTCTCATTGTACGATGGGCGTGTACTGTCTGTAACGATGGCCGTTCTACAGCGTGTGGGGGTTACACCTGTAACCTCAGGGATGACTGAGATCATGACAAACGTGTTGGCCTGTTGTTTCCATGCTGAACTAAAATGACGTCCCTGGATAACGTGTACAGTGAGAAGACCATAGTTCATGTACGCTGACAACTTCAACTGACCTAAAAAAACATAATCAGGATTTTCATTACAAATGCTGGTAAAAAAAACTGAAAATGCAAGTTTGTTTTAGCTGTCGTGAAGAATTTATGTCTGAAGTTTTGAATGAAAATGGCAAAGCTATGAAAGATTTTGAAAATGCAAAGGCAAAAAAAGAAGGTTAAGACAGGAAAACCCTTAGCAAACTATTTGTTGTCTTTTCAGCCTAATTGTACAAACAGAAAAAAAGTCAATCAAGATCTAATTTTTCATTTCAAAAATGTTGAATGAGTAATTATACCTATCACTTAATGACTTATGAGACATTCTGTTACAAAATTAGAGAAACAATTTTTTACTGTTTATAAATTCTATAAAAATATAAGAATATTTCATAAGATCTAGCTTCCTTATAAATTGTTCATGGTAAAGAAATTTCAATTAAAATGAAATTTGAGACAAAAAATAATGGTTGTTTTTTGTCCCAGATAAAAGGTAAATTTTTGCTCTGAATAAATAAATATAAAGTACTGATTGATTTAACATTTTTACATAATTACATTTCTTTTGTATGTTGTACATTGACCCTGTTTTTAAAGCATAGTGCAGTCAAGTTCAAATATCCATCCTATCAAATTTCAACTAGTCAGAGAAAGGTAGAAAATCCACTCCCACTTTCTGACAACATTAATATATCGAAAAATAAAGATATTTAAACTTTAATTACAAGAAGATAATCATGAGTTACTAAATATATTTAATAACTATATGAACGTTTCGCAAATGTCAGACAGAAATGACCAGTTGCTGGAACTATTCAGCATACTATCAAATAAGAATTCTAAAATAAAGTTTATTACTGCATGCAATCATAATGACAACAACTAATTTTTATTCAAGAATATTACTATGTTATAAATCAAACCAAGGTCTTTAAATAGAATGGTCTGGAGTCAGACCAATTTTAATGTCTCGGTTTGATTAGGTTATTTACTGTGATCTGGCAAAGTACATCACCATTCAAAAATCAAATTATAAGATAATGTTTTGTTAAATCATTCAAAAAATTACTGAAATCTAATCCTGGCTACATTACATTAATTAGTTTTTACTTTAAAAAAGTAACAATTTTATAGATTTGCAATGAAATTCAGAATTTTTCATTCCAGGTATCAAGGAAAAATTTTACTACTCATATTTGAAAATAGGTCCGAGTTTTATAAGCTTTTTTAAATTCATGCATCAATGGAAAAAATAGAAATTTTACAGAAAAAAAATGTTATAAAAATTGTATCATGTAAAAAGTTTATAATACAATGTTATTTACAAATATTTGATGTTTATTGCATTTCAAAATGGCGCTGTAAATCTGCAAATTTTCAACAGATATGGCTTTAAGAACATTATTTTCTGAAATATTTATCCTTTTTTCACAAGTTTAAAGATTTCTTAAGAACATCATGCTGTTAGAATTTTCATTTTTGCTATTGTATTTAATATTCACCCTTTTCTTGAACAATTACCTAATTTGCGTATAGCAAACTATACCGAGTTCTACTGAGACATGTTTGTAGCATTTAGAAGGGTTTACATAGCACGTTTCCGGGCCATTCTATCCTGATCAAACGCAATTTTAATAAATAACATGAATTTGATATTCGTGACTTTACAACAAGTATTTTTTCCATGAGAAAAAGGGGCATAAATCTAGAAATTATGATCACTAAGTTGAAGTCCTTTGTCATACTAATAGATGTTTTCATTAGCATCCATTATGCCCACTATCAAGTTAACCAAGGATAAGTATTAAATTTTTTCTAATATTTTCAACAATAACCAATGTAACATAATTGTTTTACCGAGAAAACCCCTTCTTACTATGTGCCTTGTAATGATAATCAAGCATTAAGAGTTATGTGGTTTTTATTTATTCTACAATAGTATTAAATTAAGTTCAAAGATGAAAAAGGGGGATAACTTGAAAGAAACTTTCAGAAAAACTGAATAATGTCCCTTGTCTATCTTGTCATGATAAGCATTCCAAGTTTCATGTTAATAGTTTGGAAATTTAGAACCAATGACGAAATTTTTAAGTAACAAGAGCTGTCGGAAGGACAGCACGCTCGACTTTTCAAAGTGCTTGATAGTAAAAGATCCTTGATAATGTTAAATTTTTTAAGATCACAAAAGGTCTAATTTTTTTTAATAAATTCATGTTATAGGCCTTAGGGAGAGTCTAATTATACAGTATTGGCTTGACTATTCGGAAGGTAATGTCACAATGTTGTTTTATTGAGTATAATAATACTTATTACCTATGAATACAAAAAATTGACAGAAAAGGTACAAAGGGATTCTAATTAAGATGTTTTATCAAGTAAATCACTGCTTTATTATTATGAATGCATAAAATTGTCCCAAAAAAGGCACAAACCCTTCAGTAGTAATTGAGATAACAGCTTACAAGCAAAACTTTACCATGGATTTCTAAGTTGAAAAAGGGGAGAAAAATCAGCCTAAATGCAAGATAGAATTATGGATCTTTGTCAGTGACCTACAATTATGACCCTAAATGCATATGTGAAGTTTTAAATAAATATCTTTAATAGTTATTGAGATATGTAAAACTTGCATGTTAACATTAACCAAGAGACTAAGTAGAAAAGGGGATATGAATCAGCCTTAATGCAAGATAGAGTTATGAAACTTGGTCAGTGACATACAATTATGACCCTCCAATTAGGACATGTATAAAGTTTCAAGTAAATATCTTTGAAGACCTTAAACCTTTAACCAAAATTTCTAAGTTTCAAAGGGGCAAATAATTCTTCAAATTTTGCAGGCAGAGTTATGCAATTTTGCAAACTGATGTACATTGTTACTATAAAAAAGTATTTTAAATTTCAATTGAATATCTCAAGCAATAATTGAGATATTTGACTTTACAAAAGAACTTTAACCAAAATTTCTAAGTTCCAAAGGGGCATAATTCTGTCAATATTGTAGGCAGAGTTATCCAACTTGTCAATCTGATGTACCTTGTTACTATAAATAAGTATTGTAAGTTTCAATTGAATATCTCAAGCAATAGTTGAGATATTTGACTTTACAAAAAACTTTAACCAAAATTTCTAAGTTAAAAAGGGACATAATTCTGTCAATATTGTAGACAGAGTTATCTCACTTGTCAATCTGATGTACCTTGTTACTATAAATAAGTATTGTAAGTTTCAATTGAATATCTCAAGTAATTATTGAGATATTTGACTTTACAAAAAACTTTAACCAAAATTTCTAAGTTAAAAAGGGGCATAATTCTGTCAATATTGTACGCAGAGTTATTCAACTTGTCAATCTGATGAACCTTGTTACTATAAATATGTATTGTAAGTTTCAATTGAATATCTTAAGTAATTATTGAGATATTTGACTTTACAAAAAACTTTAACCAACGCAGACGCCGACGCGGACGCTGACGCCGACGCCGGGGCGACTACAATAGCTCTCCTATTCTTCGAATAGTCGAGCTAAAAATGAAGGAAAAAACACATGAATATGATATATAAACAGAATAAAATGTTCCAGACCAAAATACTATAAGTATAACATAATATGATTACTTGTCACATTATCATTACTGGAATCTTTTAAGTAAGTACTCTGAGGTTGTCTTAGTAAATGTAATAAATAATACACCAAACAGTGCTTTCAAAGAAAGCAGAATGCCAATAACATATCTGTATGTCTTATGTTTTAAGTAATGAATTCAAAATTGTTGATTTTCCATTTAATAGTTTCAATTAAGCTTTTTTACATTTTACAAATATTTCTTTAACAGTTTTTACCAGAAAATTATATAACAAATGACACCAGTAATAGTCATCAGGTCCATTACATTTTCTAGATGCTGACCAGTTATATCAACAGTTAATTCTACTCCCACCCTACAATTTTAATATAAAATTCTACAATATTTCTTTTAATCCACAAAGATGCTGTATACATACAGGTAATTTACTGGCATTAAGAATATAGAAATTTTGACCAGATTTAAAATCGGTTTGAAAGATCAATCCATTCAATAAAATCACACAATAATACCACATTCAAAAATTCTGTAAATGCAACAATCATAATGTTCTCACATTGTTCAGTATACATGCATAATCATACATGCATGTATATGAATGGTTCACATCTATATGAACCATGAAGACAATGCAAATTACATTTATTGAATGCCCCAATAATAGAATAATATAACATTTACTATTATTTACCCCAAATATATTTCAATATATTTACTAAATGGGTAATTGGTAAAGGGTCAACTCGGCCCTACAACAAAAATCTAGGATATAGATTGTTTAGTTCATAAACTTTTTAATGAGGAAATTACTATGCAATTATTTAGAGTTACAATCACAAATAGAAATTGAAAAATATATATAATGTATAATTAAATAATTAAATTTTTTTTGTATAAAAGAGTTAAAAAAATTATGATTGATCCGTAATATTTTACATCAAACACTGTTTGTTTTTAAAACATCCTATACTGTTTGAACGATTTTTTGACAAAATATCTGAAGAGGGCAAACCAAACATATTATAAATTGGAGATTCTTACAAATTTACAATTTTCATGAAAATGCTTAACAATTGTACTGATAAAAATAAGTAATTGATATCCCATAAAATAAGTAAAACTGATTGACATACCAAAAATGACAGACAAGTGTCATTCCAATATAACTACATGAAACTTTGTTTAACAGAATATTAATTGTAATTAATAAATTCCTTAAGAAATATTAAATAACTATTGAACCTACCCTTCATAAAAGTCCCCTTCTTCTGCGAGTGTCTGGACACCGTGGCCATACTTTCACAATGTTAATCAATAGGTTAATAATATTTTTCAAGTTCACTTTTTACAAGAAACACTCAAAGCAAAAAGGTCAGTTTAATAAATCCAAGAGTAAATCCAAGTTTCAAAAACACAGTACTTTGATATAAATTC